TTATGGTAATTGATTAATCAGAGCCTGGTTTGGACTTGGAGCTGTAAAAGATTTAAATCAGTTTGATGAAATTCAGGGCTCTATGATATGTCTATGCTTCGATTTGAGATGGACAAAAGAGTGGGGTTCAGGGAGTATATGCGATCAGATGGAACCCGCTCTTATTTCTTCTGTTTAGATACTGTGAGGAATCTATTTGTGGGTGCAGGCTTCACTGAGGTACTAATGTTACCACAAAACAATTTTTTTTTTGGGGGGGTGGGGGTGGGGTGTGCCGGGCGTGGAGATCCTAAAATTAGATGTGCACATACTTGCTTCATTTTCTACTGTCTCATGTTCCATAACTTGTGCTTATGTCAGCTTGAGCTTGAATACTGCTGCGTTAAGTCGGTGAATCGTCGAAATGGGAAGAGCATGCGAAGGGTGTGGGTTCATGGAAAGTTCCAGAAGCCTGTATGAAATGAAGTCATTTGAAGCGGTCTCTCTTGTTGAGATGCTGCCCTTTGAAGAAACCATGCTGCTTTTTTCTACCATGTAGCTTGCTGTGAGCAACTTTTTCGTTATATGTATATGAGAAAGGTACAAATTTGGGGCTCCATTGAATTTCTGAGAAGAGCTGTGAAAGTCAGTGCTCAAATTAGCTGATGTGTTCTCACAAGAAAGAAAGGCCCAAGTATACGATAACTTTCTACCTAATCTAAATTGTTCTTCACTAGATGAAGGAATTAAGCTCTAAACTTTTTTTCCCCGAACTGAGTAAATTTTGTTACGGCTACAAATGGGTAGGGCAGTTGACAATGGACGGGTCGAATTCCATGTGCTTGATACATGTGTCCATGTTCTGGATAGGGATAACCAAAACCCGGCGGTTCCCTATGGACCAAAATGCCCACATCATCCACGTGTAGTATACCCAGCTCCCTAACTGACCAAAATGACCTAAGTTAAGTCTAGTCAAAATGTCAAAAGGAAACCCTAAACCAGTTCCCTTGGAATTGGTACCCATTATTCAACCCAACCCATCCATTTGTCTTTTCTGCAAATTCTCAAATCTTCAAAAACAAAACATAAAGAAAAGATGTTTATCACCAATTTATACCGAAGTTTTTCAATATATTACTTGCGTGCCTGAACTGTCTCAAATATTCCAGGATTTTATATATGTATAGAAATTCTCCTATGTGAATGTACGGATGTTATTATCATGCGAATGCTATGTATGTTTTACTATCCCTCTTTGTTTTTTTTCTTGTTTATTATGACATCCGCATGATAATAATATGCGGATATCCGAATGAGAGAACAAGTATATATATATATATAACTTTTTATCTTCTAATAATCTCCATGCAATATCTGAAACAAAGTTGGCCTTACAAAGGTTTTTTGTAATGATCAATTCCTCCCTTTAAGAATTTGGTTTGTTCCTGCTCGAAATAATGGAACACCACCTGTTTTACTGAACTGCAGAGGTTTATAAAGTAATCACGCTATTGAAAAGGTATTCTAAGCTAAAGCTTGCATTTAAATATGTAAATCGTAAACTAAAGACATTAATTAATTAATTAACAGAAAAGCAGATTGTCACTACTATGCACATCTTACAGACTAATTGAAAGGAGGAAAATTAATTAAGATAGGCACTCTCATGCACTGGCGGATCTAGTAAGGTGCAAGGAGGTGCAGTTTGCACCTCCTCTCGCCGGAAAAATCATTGTAGGTGCTTCAAATTGCCCATTTGCTCAAGTGATGTACATATTACCTTATTTTCATTTTCAACATTTAAGTAAATGTCTTTGTCCTTTTACTTTTATTTATTTTTATATTACTCTATTTACTTAAGTTTACAATGTAAATAAGGAAGTACCCCCCATTTGGATCCAAATAAAAATACTAGAATATCAAATTCTCACCAAATCAAAATATGAAAATTCGGTTTTAGTGCAAAATACGATTTAGGCTAAAAATGATGGCTCATTAAGTCAATATATACTTCATACTAAAATCCCATAAAATCAAGTTTTCTTATTTGATGTGTAAGGAATAAAAGCCGCCAAAAATTATCTTGAGAAAATGATTATTTCGAAAAACCATTTTTCATACTTAGTCAATATTGCACCTCCGCTAAAAAAATTCTAAGTCCGCCAGTGCTCCCATGATCCCATCCCATGAATCATGATTAAAGTAAATATTCTATTCAAAGATTGTATATGATTTGTTGATCAATCTAAATGAGATCCAAGAGCTGGTTGTCGTGTTGTCATTCGAATAGCGATCAGTTCATACAGAATATATATATATAGTGTGTGTGTGTATATATATATATATATATAGCTGCGTACAGTACAGGTTCAAAGCGTTATGCGAAACCAAGAATTAAAGTAGTGGTAAGCATGCTTGAAGCACGTCGTCAATTACAAAAGCAAGCCTGCATCCATCTTTTAATATAAAATCAATTATAATATGAATGAATGAATGCCCTAGTAGTAGCTTTTGCAGGACAGCAGTGAAGTAGGAGAGCAGAGCACCTAATCCGGCCAAAGACGACGTGTACTCCACGGCAGGTGCATGCATCCAATCCAATACAAATTTTAATTAATATTTATAAATTAATTGTGTTTGCATCATTCACATTCATCTTCAGAGGTAGAGATGGAAAGTGATAATATGCTTTCAGTTTTTTCTCCACCGGTGATTTATTTTATTCGTTAATTATGTCAGTAGGTTTTCCATTAATTATGTTATTATTATTATAATATTATGCAACTTCAACTTTATTGGGTTGTCCTCATTTCCTTAATGCAGTTTTTGCGGATTCCCTTTCCAAAGTATTATAGTTAATTGCGTTGTTTAGACTTTCATACAGAACCCGGGGCTTCAAAACATGTTGGTAAAACTACACCAGCAAAGAGCAAAGAGCAATGAGCAATGAGCAAAGACAACTACTGGTGCACAAAAAGGAGGTTTTATTTGTTTTCTAGTCTTAGTCGTCCCAAGATTATTTAATTGTAATCATCCTGGTCTGGTCTGCTTTTAATATTAAACTCCTCAAGGTGGGTTCCATCCACATCACAAAGCTGCTTTACCATTATAAATTATTTTATAATTTATAACGATTGTTGTCTGCAAATTACTGGGTAATATTTTCATAAACAAATGTAAATTAATTAGGGTTGATTAAACAATGACATGTGAGTCCATGTGAAGAGGGTCCTCCATGTTTCAGTAAACAACTCCATATCTGGCTTTGGCCTGGGATTATATCATCATCTATATGTATCCTTTGAGTGCCAAGAAGGCATCCTTTAAACTTTTCCTTTCCTTAATATTAATCTATCTAACTTGAATTTTGTCGTACATCATGTCCCATCCAAATATAAAACAATTCTATCTTAATTATAATAATAACAACAGGATTTGTAAATTTGTTATATTAATCCGCGGATGACCTTGTTTTGGACAATTGTTATATGTGGTCATTTCGATCTTCCCCATGACTGATATATACAAGGCTGCACTCATCTTATATGCAATGCATGCCCTGATCTTATATTGGGTATAATAATTTTCATTTAAATAATTGGGTGTGTTTTTTTTTCCAAAAACTCGAATTTCTGCGCATATAAATCTTATATATATACATACAGTCTCCTTCTATTGAGGGATCTCTCAAATAAAACTTTAAGGTCCCCTACGATTTATTTTTTAACAATCCATATTAATAGATCATCCTTGCAAAAAATTAGACAAATTGAAAACTATTTCAACATCCAATTGTATCATACAAAATCAATGAACATGGTGCTTCAAGAAAGTACTAAAATTTCAATAACTCAATTGAGTGATCAAATGATATCGGATTCAAGTAATTTTTTTTGTAGAGATGATCTTTGAATGATTATCTAAAAAATAGACGGTTTGGATTAGTGAAATATAATGTAGAGTCAGCCCTATAAGGGTGTCCCTCAAATAAGCTTATTTATTATTTTATGTGAACGTCTGGACGTTATTATCGTGCGGATGTCATGTATTTTTTCTATTACCCCTCCCTATTTTTTTCCCTATTTACAATAGTATTTGTACGATAATAACGTGTAGGCATCCGAATAAGAGAATAACTATATATGTGTATTAAACTCTTATATGTGATAGCTTGGGAATCTGCTGACTATTGTTCCCCATTACGCACATTCATGCCACTAAGACTAAGTAGTGCTATATGCATATGTGAAAAATATGCATAATTATAATTATAATTATATTGCATTTATACATAGATTAAGCTAGCTAGAGCTTCAGGCTTCAGGTTTGGCTCTTCAATTAGACATGCATGGCAAAGTTTTTTGGAATCCTATATATACCAATATAATATATGCAGTTTAATTAGTAGCCAAAGTTGACCACCAAAGCTGGTCTTATAAAACTAGCTAATAGAAAATTAGCTAGAGAAACAGACCTGCGTATTAAACTCTTAAAAATTAGACTTGAAAAACTTGAAAATATAATTATATAATTATAAAGAGAGGAACATGTGTATAGCCAATGAAAATCCCACCATAAAACATGTATATAATATAAGAGCAGTATATATATGATATCATATACTAGTATATTTATATATATAAGATACAAAATTGATGCCAAAGATATATGTTGTAGAAATTAATTAAAATATATATGTTGTACTTTTTCAATTTAACACCTCCATCAAATCATGATTGTTTTTCATTGGTAATTAACTAATATAAATATATATATATATATATATATATACACCTGTTGATGTAGATAAAATGACTAATTCATAAAGGGCTAAAATTAACTAACTAGAGAAGAGAAGAAGAAGAAGAAGAAGATGATGATGCAGAAACAAAATAGTTAACCATCATGATCATTATTGGAAAATATGCATACAGTCCAGAGAGAGAGTACAATCCACTGATGACCAGTTCTTCAACTCATCTCTAAGTACAAATTAAGCACAAGAAAGATTTGCAGCTTCATTCATTCAAAGTTTCTCTCAAATTCAAGTTAATTCCAAACACTACTACTACAACTGCTAATTACTCATTCTCAGTATATATATTATTCATAACTAATTCACAATAATCCATATCCCTAAATTGATTGATTAATTAACTAACTAATTAAAATGGAGGCCTACCACCACCTTGACCATGCGCCCAAGATGAATAAGCCGCCCCTTGATCATGGCTCAGTGCCTGTCCTCCTCCATTCGGAAGCATATTCGGCTGCAAGTTGTAAACCCCCACCCCCATCGACGGGTCCCCCATCCCTCCTCCGCTACCACCAATCCCCGGTGGGGACCCCGCTCCTCCCGCCGCCTGCCCCGAATTATTACCACCCACCTCTTCTTCCTCCTCCAACGGCAATCTCTCATACGTCGCATTTGAAAACGTGGCTGCGATCACCATCACCGGCCCCGACGCCACAAGCGGGCCCACCACGCTGCCCCCAACAACCTGTCCCTGCACGCCCGCCAAGTATATAGTCATTCCAGTTGACCCGGGCGGTGCCGGTCCGGGCAAAAACGCCCCGGTCAACGAGAGAATCTCGAACCTTCCGTGAAGCGCCATGACCGACCCTGCCGGGGAGGTCTGCCTGATTGTAACGTTGGTGACGGTGCCGCTTCCGCTCAGGACGCAGACACCACGCTGTCTTGTTCTGGCAAACCGGGCGACGCTGTCGGCGATGTCGGCTCCGTTGGATATCTCCATGACGTGGCTGCGGAGGGCGTTAGGGCTGTCCCTGGTCACGAAGATGGGTGGCTTGGGCTTGTTCTTGGAGCCCGGGGGACGGCCCCTCGGGCGTCTGGTGGCGACTTCGATTGCGCCCTCTTTGGGATCGTCGCTGTTGTTGTCTCTGTCGTCATCGTCGTCGCCGCCTGATCCTCCGAGGCTGCTGGTTCCGGTGTTGTTGTTCATTGAGATTCCCAGATCTGGTTTAATGATGTTTTTCATTGGAGAGTTGGTGGCGGCTGCTGAGGTTTCATTCACTCCTCCTGGTAGACCTACCTGTCCAGCCCACCATCGGTTCGCCATGGTCGATCCAGAAAAATGAAAAAGACTAGCACGGATCGATGTATATATAAATTTAAATCTCTTAGATCTTAACGATCATATATATACATGGTTAATTAAGGTGATGAACAATTTTTGACTCTTATAGTTATACAAATACAAGTAGAATAGAAGAGGCTGATTTTGGGTTCACTCTCGATTCTCGAAGCAGGGAAGAAATAAGCTAATATAAAAAATAAAATAAAATTAGCCAAACCAAGCAACTAGAAGTGATGTGATTATATATTTCAGTAAGCTTGAACAAGAAAGAGCCGCATATCTGTAGGAGGATGTTTTCTACTTAAGGAAATGATAGAAATAGTAAAAACTAATTAATTAGAAGAGGTAGGGTAAGGAAATGGGAAAATTGAGAGAGCTGTATAGGTGGCTAGCCAGCCAATTATATAAGAAGTGAAGTGTAAGAGAGATCTGATTTAACAAAGAAGAAGAAGAAGAAGAAGAAGGAAGTTTGGTTTTGAGTAGGGGTTAACTTGGGTAGAGTAGGGTGGGTGGGTGTCGAGGTTAAGGTCTGTCCAGGAGGGCTTTTGGGTTCTTTTCTTTCTTTAGGTTTCTCTCACTACAAGCTGATCATAAATGAGAAGGGGATGAGAATTAAGATAAATACAAATGGAAAAGAATATGGGGAAGGTGGTGTATGCCAATGCCATGGGGTGTCGGTCTTGGGAATTAGGGTTTGGGTTGGGTTGCGTGCGCGTGAGAAGGTGGGTTGCACGTCCTCCTCTCCTTTCTTCTCCTTTAGCCAGCTCTCTACTACTCTAGTAGCTAACCCTTCTCATGATCATGATGATGGATGCATAATTACATAACCCCCCCTTCACTCCAAGTCTAAATAGTCGCGTAGTTGTGTATAAAAAACTCTCCTTTTTTATAATTTAGATTATCGTTTATATTAAATAAATAAAAAAAATAAACCAACCCGTCATAAACAAATATCAAATACAAGAAACACCAAAAATTAATGAGATTCGCCAATGTGCATACTTCTTCGGTGATGATGTAGATGAATCCACTAGTTAAACTAAGCAATTTTTTACAAATATCACCCTTTTAGCCCCTTTTTCGTTAACCCTAATTCTCATAATCTCTCTCTCATCCTTGGTCACCCTATCTTAGTGCTCCATCTAATTACGTTCACTTTAAGTTGAAATTAGGTCAAAAGTATACGCATATAATTATATATGTATATAGGTCATTCCTAGATGGTTTCAAGGTGTACTTGGGGATTTGATTTTGTTTTATATCCAAGCACAACACAAGCAGATTAATCAAATCAAAGGATATCTTATAGTATGAACGACAGTAACTACGTACGTTAAGTACACTACAAATTGGAATGCAGTACTGCTTTTTTGATAGCTAGCTTGTTCTTTTCCTACGCATAATGCATGCTAATTAGAGCATTCCCTAGTTTTAAGCATTTTTCTTGTATTCTATATATAAAACATATAATTTCAAAACAAAAAGCTGCCTCTACAATATTTTAGTTTATCAACTATAAAAGCGAAATGATGAGAAGGTTGTCGTTTGATAATACAAATAATATTATATATACATATACATGTTTTAGTATAAGCGATAGTCTAAACTACAGAGAAGGGGGGTTTCTCACACATAGAATCGAACCTGATATTTCTGATCGCCAAGTCTAGACCATAATATTATATAATATCTCTCTCTTGGGGCTGATATTTTTTTTTTGGGGGGTCAATTTGGGGTGAGCTAGTCCATGGGAAAAAAGGGAATGAGAGTAGGGGTGTTCAATTAACATTCGACTTTTACTCCCACAATCTTTTCATTGTATCATCTCCATAACGTGAAATTAGTTGAAGTTAATTCTTCGATATATTCTGTCTTGTAAATCTTCAGCCCATTCAAGTTATTTCAACCTATCACCACTCCGCCATCTTTGCATGCTCCCCTTTTTTTTTGGGCAATGATTTCCCCACTCCTATTTTATCCACTTACACTCCTTTTTTAGTTATAAAAAAGGAGTGTAAGTGGATAAAATAGGAGAAAAAGGAGTGGGGAAATCACCACTTTTTTTTTTTTTAATTCTTAAATTCTAAGATTATATATGTAGTTTGATTAGAAGGGGTGTCTATATATAATCTCGAGAAATTATTGTATGGTACCATACTTTGATCTTCACTCAAACCATAAAAGTAGCCCTTGCCTATATATACAATGGCTTGGAATACGTAGTACACTGGTAATTTTTATTAACAAAAAATAAAAATTTCATCATTACATTATAATAATTTACATATAGTTAAGCTTGCGGGCTCGTTTGGTACGTCGGACAGTACTGACTAATTTCCGTCGGATAGTATTAATCTGTTCCGGAGAGTACTAACTATTTATCCATAATATTATAAGGCGTTTGGTGCTAAATTGTTTTTGCCAAGATTTTTTTTCATATAACCCCTTATCATAATTGTAGTATCTCATAAAAATTCCAACATACTCGCATACGTTAATAAAAACAGTACCAAATAATGTATAATTCAAAGTGATCACATACTAAGATGATAAAAGCAAAAGGGAAAGTTGTTCATAATCATGCATTACACAAGACTACATGTAAAATTAGAATAATTCAACAATAAGTAGAATTCTACACATGACAGAAGACTACAAAATACCATTCGGCTTGCATATACAGAAATATATGTGGTTTAACTATTAGAACTATACTGTAAATATTGATATGCATATGTCTGTACTAACATCAAAGTTTCATGTACAATAAGAAGAGCAGAACAGAAGCAATAAAAGGTTCATATATTATTATGCACTTCAAGTTTTTTTTTTTTGGGGGGGTTGGGTAAATCACAGGAGGAAGGGGCATATGCCTCAAGGCGGGGGGCAGATTGAAGATAGAATCAATAAAAGGGTCAAAGTCTTTGGGAAAAAATATTAGTGGAATTTGATCACTTTCCAAGTGAGAGACAAAAATTCATTCATTAACCCATGTCCAATGTTTCTCATTGTAAAATAGGTCCTTTTACGATTTAGCTTTCATTCATGTAAGTAAGCATAACCTAATTTCAAAAACGAAAAATATATAACCTAATTTCCACAAAAATTTAATTAAAAAATTGAAATATATAAAGAATAGAGAAGAAGCAAGAAGAAGCACATTGGAGAGAGTATGAAAAAGAGAGAGAGTGAGAGAGATGGATACCTGGAGAAGAGTGAAGAAAATAACCTGTGGAGAAGATAGCAGAGAAGAACCCTAGGGAGAAGAAGATAAAAAGAGCGTACGATTTTTTTTTGTAAAACGCGTGCTTAACCGTATAATTAAGCGTGTATTATCTAAACCGGGGTGTGTGGGTTGTATTAGTTAGTCAGGTAAGGAGAGTATTAAAAGCCCAACCCGTATAAAATAGTCGGGTAATTAAATAATACAAGTTGACACCAAACATCTGACATAGACTATTTACTCATATCCAGAGTCTAATACGGTGTACCAAACGAGCCCTTGCCTATACATACAATGGCTTGGAATACGTAATACACTGGTAATTTGTATTAACAAAAAATAAAAATTTCATCATTACATTATAATAATTTACATATAGTTAAGCTTGTAGTTCATGAAACATGAACATGGTGGACAAAAAAATAGTAACCCTTTCCTGCTGCGCCGAGTAATTTAAAGTGGCATAACAAACAAGTGGTAAATTAGTAATTATGCCTTGGGTTAAATGCGGATAAGTCTGAACTGATCGTGTCCGGCCCAGTGAAATGTATTCACAGTGGGTTGAGGTACAGCATTGTAATAGGTCCAATATAAGACAGGGCTCCGATTTGAACAATATAAGAACCGGGTTGAGACCCATTGGGTCGGATCGTCGTTTATACTTGCGCGCTGGTTTGGTCAATCTGAACTCGTTGGAGAAAGACATGGCTGACGACCTGTTTGAAGGCCTCCCTCCACCTTCTGCGAACCCTCCTCCTTCTTCTTCTGAACTTCAAGAACGGAAACCACCGCAGGAAGCGTTAAAACCACAACAAAAACGAAAAACCGCTACTTTTAACACCGACTCTTCTTCTTCTCCCGCTCCTGCTCCTGCTCCCCAAAAACCAATTCTCAAAAGCGCCCTCAAGCGGCCTAAACCCTCTGTATCAAACGCAGAAGAAGGTAATTCTTTCTTCATTTCTCCTTTGTTTGTAATTGGGGTGGCTTCAAAACTCATTATTTTACTTGTGTTCCTTGATTATATTTCCAAGGGCTGCAAAAAAGTGCTTTTAGGGTTTTACTCCTGCATTAATTTCGATGCTGAGAAACCCCAATAGGAAAAACTGAACTCATTTTCTCTGGGACTTGCATTGCTTATGTTATTTGGTGTCATGTAGTTTGTTTCCAGTTCAAATTCTAGCTGCCAATCCGGGTCTTCTTGACATTTTATTATATTTAGGGCCCATTTGATAACCATTTCAATTTTAGTTTCTAGTTTTCATTTTTTGTGCTAGAGTATAGAGGAAAAAGAGGGAGAATGGAAGTGAGATGAGAGTGAAGATGGGATTGAGAGGGAAGATGAGAAGGGAGGATGGGAGGAAGGAGTAACAAAAGTGAAAACAAAAACTAAAAACTGAAATCTATTTGAAATTGTTTTCACTTTCAAGTTTTTGTTTTCACTTTTGTTACTCCTCCCTCCCATCCTCCCCTCTCATCCTCACTCCCATTCTCACTCTCATTTTCCTCTATACTATAGCACAAAAACTGAAAACTAAAAACTAAAATTGAAATGGTTATCAAACGGGCCCTTAGATTCTCTTTATTTCTTCATTTATGCTACTTGTATGTATGAAATTTCAATGTTTTTAAAATGAAGCTAAAAGTGTTGGAACTGTTTTTCAGCCCCTGTAACTGAAAGAAAGTTGAGGTTTAAAACCATGACAGATGCCTCAGAGCAGCAGGTCATTGAGGCAATGCAGAAAATAGCATCACATATAAAGAATCCTACAAAGTTTAGTAAGGCTTCAAAGCTTGCCATCCAGCTGATTCAGGCGGGAAGTGTCAAGCCTGAAACTGTTGATTACTTCTTTTCCGTTCTAGAAGCTGCAATGGCATCACCTACTGCTTGTACGGATCCTTCTCTGCGAGCCGATTACCATGCACTCTTCTCAGCCGCAAAAGATGCCTCTGAGGTAAGATCATAAGTCTATGTATAGTACAGGGTAATGTTACTGCTGGTTCGTGAATTTGTATTTGAATACTCAACTTACATCTCCTAATTTTTTATATATTAGTGTCTCAATAAGAAGCAAAAGAATCAATTAACTGCATGGAGAATCAGGACGGTGATGGCAAATGAATTATTTACTGATGACAGCTTCCAGGTGAGAACCTTTTTCTATGGCATAGTTTGTGATCATACTTTCAGAATCATGTAATGACTAGCTTCCTTGTTATATGATTTATTGAGAAGCATGAACTGTGCAACCATTTTTGACATGCATTCTGAACCAATTATCCGTTGTTTAAAGTATGTGACATTAATATCCACACATCAGTATTTCCCCTTTCTTTGAATTCCTCGTAGCAATTGATGACTGGTGTCTTGCGAATTGTTTATGATGGCTAATATATTTCTTGTATTTTTTCTAGTTTTTTTTCCTTGAGCTTTGATAAATATCTTTTCTGTCACTTTCTTGTAATTCATTCTTTATTTTAGTTAATAAAAATATATGTTTTCTATAATAAATAATCGTTTTGTTTCATGTAATATCTAATGATGAATTTTGGTTTGGAACTACTGTTTGTTTTTATGATTTCTTCACCATGCCTGACTTCCCTTTTTTTTTTTTTTCTTCTTTCTTTCCTTTCCTTCTTCTTTTTCCATTGTCATGCTTTTTCTATGTGAACTTTTACAAAGTTTTCAAAAACAGCTGCACAAGTAAAAGAAGCCATATCTAATCTGCCAGTTGCAACCGAGGATGATGACAGAGAGGAAGCAGCTGTGCTGGAAGATGAAACAAAGATAGCAGATCAAGATGATCACATGGAGCAAGATATGGTTTCAGCTGCGCCAGCTGAAGAAAATAATGAGAAAGAGTCTGATCCATTTGGGCTTGATGCATTTTTAACTCCCACCCCAAGGAAGAAAGATGATAAAACAAAGGGGAAAAAAGACGGAATTACCGAGATCAGGAAGGAGGAGGGAGAGACCAAGAGATTCCTCAGGTCACAAAGAGAAGCCTTGGTTCTTTGTTTAGAGATAGCTGCTCATCGTTATAAAACGCCATGGTAGGTTATTTTGAAATGTCAATTATTTCAACACATTCTGTCAGGTTTATGTACTGAATAGCTAGAACTTATGTTTTGTTTGATTGTACTTGTCAGGTGCCAAACAGTAATAGACATATTAGCAAAGCATGCTTTTGATAACATAGCAAGGTTCACGTCTAAACAAAGGAATGCCATTGAGAAACTTTGGGCTTCGATTCGGGAGCAACATAATCGACGAAAACAAGGGAAATCAGTTACTGGGAAACTTGATGTCAATGCTTTTGAGTGGCTGCAGCAGAAATATGCTACTGAGAAGATCAGCATTCGGCATTCTGTTGGAGGTAGTGGGGATCGTAAAACTGAAATGTGGCTTGGCTGATAGTATCTCTTTTTTTTGGGTACGAATGTTAATCATTCTTTACAAGGAAGAAAGGGAAGCAAATTGTAATTGTTTATCTGGAATTTGTTTCAGTGTAGAATGTTTTCTCATCAATACAAAGAATGAATTAATTACATTTAGAATATATGTTACATTTTACAAAATAATTATCGGTTATGCTACCAATAATCACCACAAGAACAATATCCATCTCTGAAATGGTGAAAGCGGTTACGGTCCCTTACTATCATTACCCTCCCATATATTTTGGATAAAAGCTTGGTTGCTGTGTGACAATCTTCACAAACTCGGAGATTCTTTACAATCCGAATTGGCATACCTGCAGCACTGCTGATAAGACCGAATGCCATGGCCAGTCTCTCACTATGATAGTTAACCACCGTTTCTTTCTCTTCCTCATCAATGTTCTGCAACACAACAGAAGTGTTGGGAGTGTAACCAGCCTCTTTCAGCTTCTTGGTCATCTCAGCCAACATTTCATAAATCTTTCTTGTTTGAGGGTGTGCCTTATCTCCCATTATGAAGTCATGAACTGAGCCGTTTACTTCAATTGAGCTCAGTCCTGGTTCTTTCTTGGTTCCTCTATCTTTCATAGATTTTCTCACCCCATCAACTTCATTCCATCTATTTGATGCTGCATAGATGTTTGACATCAGAATGTTGTAACCGCAGTTTTGAGGTTCCAACTCAAGAAGCTCTCTTGCTGCTACTTCAGCCAAGTTGGGATTCTTGTGAATTTTGCACGCAGCAAGCAGGGCACCCCATACAATTGTGTTGGGCTGCATAGGCATGCTTTTGATCAATTTATGAGCCTCGTCAAGGTTCCCAGCTCGACCTAACAAATCCACCATGCACCCATAGTGCTCAACCTTAGGAGCCAAGCCATAGACATGAACCATTTTCTCAAAAAGCCACTTTCCGTCTGCCACCAATCCAGCATGACTACAAGCATGGAGAACTCCTATGAATGTGATGTCATTAAGCTCAACACCTTGTCTGTCCATTTGCTCAAAGAGTTCCAAAGCTTGTTTTCCACAACCATGCATAGCAAAGCCAGTCATCATGGCATTCCACATGCAACTATCTCGATTCGAGGCTTCACTGAATAGCATCAGAGCCATATCTATGTCCCCACACTTCGCATACATGTCCACTAGAGCTGTTCTTAATATGACATCAACTTCCATCCGTTGCTGGTTTATGTAAGAATGAACCCACTTGCCCAAGTCAAGGGCTCCAACTTCTGCACATAATGAAATGAGGCTAACCATGGTTACTTGATTTGGTCTTACTCCACTATCCTTCATCTGAGCAAAGAGGTCTGAAGCCTGATTAGTGCAATTGGCATGTGCATAAGCTGAGATCAAGGCACTCCAAATCATGACATCTTTGTTATCTACGCTATCAAAAAGAGCCCTTGCATATGTGATTTCCTTGCATTTTCCATACATATCAACCAAAGCAGTGGCCAATGCCAAAGACATGATAAACCCATTTCTCAAAATATAGGCATGCAACCACTTGCCCAATTCCAGAGCACCTACAGACCCAGACTCGATAACCAAACTCAACATTGTAATCTCATTCGGATAATTTCTTTCCACCAGCATTCTGTTGAAAAGTTTTGCTCCCTCTTGTAAATTTCTGCAATGTATGTATCCTGCGATCATGGCGGTCCATGAAACAATGTTCTTCTGAGCTAACCCATCAAAGACCCTCCTTGCATACGCTAAATTTCCACACTTTACATACATGTCTATTAAAGCAGTAGATATGGAAACTCCCAGTTTCTCATTAGTACCATTCCTTACAACATAAGCGTGCATCGCTTTCCCCATTTCTATATCTGCAACGTCTGCAAAGAGATTAACCATGCTAACCATGGAAATCTCACTAGGCTTTACTTGCATACAATGCATTTCCCTGATAAGTTCCAATGCCTCACGAAACAATCTGTTTCTAACATAGCTCCTAATCATGGTACTCCAAGAAACAACATCTCTTTCAGCCATTTGATCAAACAATAAGCGAGCAAATACCACGTTCCCGCATTCACTATACATTTGGATCAACGCATTGCTCACGAAAACATCACTATCCAATCCATTCTTTAATGCAAAACCGTGCGTCTCTTTTCCTAAAACAGCCAAAGAGGATTGGCCGCAAGCTTTGAGGACTGAGGGGATGGTGAAACTGTCAACTTGGGTGTCCATTCTACGCATTTGAGCATATAATTTGAGTGCAATTTTGGGGCAGTCGTTCTTAATGTAAGAAGTTATTAAGAAATTGTATTGGGCAGCAGGGCTCAAGTGGGTTTGGAGGTGCCTAAGAGGAATTTGAATGGTGTGATCAAATTGGGTTTTGATCAAGTGGGCATGGATTTGCTGGGTCTGTTCAAAGTTGGGGTGTTCATGTGGTGTGAAAGAAGTGGTTGTTTGGTGCTTATATGGGTCTGAGTTTGGGTTTTTTATAGGGATTTTGTTGATTTTGAATCTGGAGGGAGGAAGGAGAGAAGGTGATAGGAGATGAGGTTTGGTGGTGACCATTATTTGGTCCATTTGCAGCATAGAATGCGGAATTGCATGCTTATCTGAACTACATGCCCATCAATCCGCCTCTTGTGCATAATTTTAATAACAAAAGAAATATGTGGCAATTTAGAGAATATCCCAGAAAACAAGGATGGTCTTGCAAAATAGTTACCATTTTAATCCAAAACCCTAAACCCCATCCCCTTGCGCCTATATAAACACAATCTAAAACCCTAGACACTCATCTCATCTTCACTTCCGTCTCCAAGTGAAATCTCATCTGCAGGTACGCAGTTTCTCTGTCCCAACTCCCTTAATGTTTTCTCTCTTCAGGTTACTACTTCGTATTGTTCTCTCTGTAATGCCATTGCATCCCAGTAGTATATTTCTGAAGAAAAACGGTAAATTGAGAAAAGCACATATCGAAGGCTTATGGGTGCTATATGAATGCCCATGCGCTCAAAATCTGTGCAAAATTATAAATCGTTCTTCTTTTCCGAATATCCTCTTGATATTTTGCTCGAGGATTGTTTGGAAGAACGATGACATTGCTAACTCCTGCTGTTGTTATTAATTTTTGTGTTGTTTAATGGACTTGTCTCATTTTTATTGGTTTCCCTGTTTTTCTCTTGAAAGTTTGTGTATTTGATATGAATGTAGGTATATAGGTTTGTTATTATTCGAAATGTGAGAATTTGGGAAAAAGCTGCCCAGATTGCGTTATCGGATCAAGTAAATTATGTGAAAAGTATAATCTTTCAGAGTTGTTTCTGATGTTAATTGATATGATCAAATATATTTCGTTTTAATGTGGTTGAGACTGGAGCTGCTTGTTTGGTGTCTGCAGAGTGTGGAGTTTTTCTGATATTTTATATTTTATACAGGCTCTCATAAAAGAAAACATGAAGAACCCGAAAGTTTTCTTTGACATATTGATTGGAAAGATGAAGGCGGGCCGAGTTGTAATGGAATTATTTTCTGATGTGACACCGAAAACTGCTGAAAATTTTCGGGCTCTTTGCACTGGAGATAAGGGGATTGGAGCAGCAGGGAAGCCACTGCACTTTAAGGGCTCTACATTTCATCGCATCATCCCGAATTTCATGTGTCAGGGTGGAGATTTCACAAGAGGTAATGGGACTGGAGGGGAGTCGATTTATGGCACAAAATTTGCAGATGAAAACTTTAAGTTGAAGCATACAGGGCCTGGAATTTTATCCATGGCCAATGCTGGACCAAACACTAATGGTTCCCAATTCTTCATTTGCACTGACAAGACCCCTTGGCTCGATGGAAAGCATGTCGTGTTTGGGAAAGTTGTAGATGGCTATACTGTCGTTAAAGAGATGGAGAAGGTGGGTTCAGATAGCGGGACAACTTCTCAACCTGTTGTTATTGAAGATTGCGGTCAGATAAAAGATGAGAATTGATGTTTGAATAGTTGACATCATAGCTTTGCTGATATTATTAGTTCAGTTTAGGAGGCTATTGTAAAGCAAATAAAACTTGAATATGATATGTTTATTTAGTTTGGATCCTCTTTATGTCTATTTTTGTGTGGAATTTCTGGTCCTTGTTTATGGAAATGGAAATGGGATTATTTTCTTCCGTTCAATTCCTGGCTCAACTTGGATGCATTACTTACAGCAACCAGTTACCAAAAGCTATGAATGTGAGAAGAGAAGAGTGGGATTGCCCAAGGCTAGTTCTACGTGCTTCGAAAAAACACGAACAAATTTATAAAGGAAAAAGGAAAACAGCATGAAAATGGTGATGACGGTGGTGAGAAACGCGAAAGTGTATCTCTATCACACATCACATGGTTTATGGACACAAACTGAGTTCCTTTTTGTACATTCTGATCAAATTGCACCAAGAGCCAAGAGGTGCCGCTACTTTGTTTACATAAGCAAAGCAATGGAATTATTAGCTAGATATAGGTAGATGTTTGTCAATTGCAACATCTCAGTCGTCTTGTCACATTGTCACAAGATTGCATATATAAAGGGGTGATTGAATACCCAACCCGACCCAGATATCATATACTCCCAATTGCTCACTAGCCTTTTCAGACAAGAAACAATGGCGGCTGCTGCTGGTGAGAGATATTGTAGCTACTTCCTACTTACATTTGATTTACTGCTTTCTTTATGATTGATTCATGTTTTCTTTTTTCTTGAAATGAGAAAACTAATTGTGCTCCATGTTCTTCAATTGCTTCAAATAATAATTCAGATCATGGAAAAGTTACCACTATCCTTAGTATTGATGGTGGAGGAGTGAGAGGCCTCATCCCTGCCAACATACTCGCCTTTCTCGAATCTGAACTCAAGGTTAGTACTTACTTAGTATGTCTGTGTCCCCCTTAGCTATTTTCTTCTTCTCTTTTGGATCAATAAAATAAATGTTGAAACTAACTTGAATATGTTCTTACTACCACCCAATTCAATAGACACTGGATGGGAAAGATGCAAGGGTTGCCAACTACTTTGATGTCGTTGCTGGGACGAGCACAGGAGGCCTTGTTACAGCTATGCTTACCAAACCAAATGGAGAAAACAGACCTTTGAAGCAAATGAAATCAAAACATTTTATTTTGAACAGGATCTTCATATCTTCCCTCGCGAACCAACCAAAACAGCTGCAATGTATGCATGCACTACCAACTCTATAAATTAACAATTTTAACAAAAGTATGTCTTTCAGTCTTTTGATACGATGACTATTTTGGAGTGTCAATGAGTCCCATAATTGATGAAGGTTTTTCCGCATAGCCGGTTGGTTTGAAAAAATAAAGAAATGGGCGGAATGGCTAGAAACACTGACCTTTGTGAAATGGGTTGAGAAAGCATTGCGCCCCAAATACAATGGTACTGCCCTGCATGACATAATCAAGAAGGTAATAGGAAAACCACGGCTTCATGAAACTATAACCAGTGTCATCATTCCCTCTTATGACATCAAGTTTCTCCAACCAGTCTCCACCTTGAAGGTACATACATTATTTAATATTTGAACTAGTTAATAATATAATTAAGTTCGTTAGTCATTCATTAAATTTCTGTGTCCTTCATGCAGGCAAAACACGATCCATCAAAGGATGATGTTCGGCTAGCAGATGTCTCCATTGCCGCATCAGCGGCACCATACTATTTCCCTCCTTGCTATTTTGAGCATAAACCATCCAATGGAGTCCCAAGAAAATTTAACCTCATCGACGGTAGTGTTGCAGCCAACAATCCTGTACACTCGTAGAGTTTAACTAATTGATTTGACAAAACTGGTTCATACTCATAACAAATCAATGGAATATCCATTTTTGCATACTTTGCTGGCAATCATTGAGGCTGCTAGGGAGATGTCTCAAAATAAAAAACCTGTTTGGACAACTCACGTAGAGAAAATCTTGAGCACCTTGAGAAGATTGGGAATCAACTCCTTGAAAAACCTGTTTCTGCATTGAACCTGGAGAACGGCTTGTATGAACCGATCGACAACACATTCAAACACAAAGACAGGCTTGCACAGTAAGAACAAGCTTATATGATCTGGTCCATACTATACTGACATCCTCAATGTTTATGTTCATAATAAGTTGCTTCTTTGTTTAGTGAATGAAATACAGTTCATCTGTTTGTTTTGTAAATGGTGCAGGTTTGCCAAAAAGCTGTCAGATGAAAAAAATGTCGACTAGCTGGTCACTCTCGCTGATAAAACTATCGTCTGAGAAGAATACTTTAAACTATATATACCATGCAGTACTGTTTTAAACGTTCTTGTGCCTAGTATCTATTAACTAAGTTCAGCCATATAAGGACTTGTAGAATATAGCTGGTTTCCCAGTTCAGAGTGTTCTTCCAAGCCTGCTAAGTTCGAAACTTGTAATGGGTGGTTCTCTTCTCGTCTTCCAGAAAGTACAATAAAATGAGGCTATCTCATAGCAGCTTTAATTACTTCAAGTATCCATGGTATCATGGATAAATGCGCGGAAACAAAGAGTGCTTGTACAAATCATCAATGTGTGGGGAAATAGAACTTCTATTTCAAGTGCATCATGTAGGAACATTCACACTTCATGTGCACAAATTAGAAAGATAACATGTCTAGTTAAATCATAGATCGTTTTATCTGTGAAAGAATAAATCTGAAAATTACAACAACATGCCTATTACACAAGAGCCATCAAGGCCAAGGGAAGAAAGGATAGGTAAAAACCCCTCGTAGAGGGGCATCTAACAAAACCCCACCTCAAGTTTCCAACATTACTGAAATTTTTTATATGAGTTGTATAAATCTCAATCGTAACAAAGAGTGATATACAACACAATGACCATACTCTTCTACTTTTACTCCCAATCCTCTTCGCTCAATTGATCGTCTGTGTCATCTCTTGGTGGCCTCACTATCATCACCACAGTCCCTAAACTCTCCTTCACACCAGTTTCCTTCAAAGCTGATCCCCTCACAACCTTAAACCCCAAACCCCCACCCTCAACTGCTGCCAAATAAAATCCATCATCAGCTGCCACCTCCTTCTTGCTCCTATCAGCCACCACCAGTATAGGCTCCTCCTTGTACCACTTATTCACCTTCCAAGGCAAAACCCTCGCGTCACTAAACGACACCACCACTGCCCCCTTTCCTAAACCTACCACCGGCTCCCATCCCGGCAACACCACCCACCTCTTCCACCCCTTCTCTGCCACCACCACACCAAACTCTCCCTCACTACTACATTCCCACGGTGCCTCCAATACCTCCTTATCCTTCTCCTCTGCCCTACAAACCGGCAAAATCACAACTTTACTGGACTCTGCCACCTCCCCAAACTTCAATCTCACAACTGGAACCCGAACCGCATCTATAACATCCCATTCTCTCCCTTCTTTCTCATCAGTCTCCCCCTCGAAATCTGTCAAAATTATTTTTTTGGCCTTATCAGTCCCTGCAACTTTCAGAGCCTGCTCTAAAGCAGCAGTTCTGGGTTCAGAGGGGTTCTTGTGCTCCCTAGCCTGCCTATAATACATAAAGCCTAGACAATCTCCAGGGTGAGCATAATCAAAGCTCTCCCACCCTTTCTCTCCTCGCCTGCGAGGAAAGTCCTTCATAGAACGGGCCAGGTCCTGGGTGCCCTTAGCATCAAGCTTGTTCTCAATTATGTAACGGGCTGCAGCTGCACGCTGCTGGACACTCAGGAGCCGAATTTCATACAACAACTCGGAACCCCCGGTGTCAAATTCCGCAAGAATTTGTGGGTCAGTCTTGGATTGGACTAAAGAGTCTCTTACCTGAGCCGCAACCACCAGGCGGTTCTGCTCGACACCGGAAATCCCCGTAGCCTCTTCGATGGTGGGAGGCGTGAAGCCTTCTTGGAGTAAGGACGGGATTAGAGGGGCGAATTCGTACCAGAGGCCGAGGCGATTTGAGAGGATTTCGATGCGGCCATTGGCGTCTAGAGAGCGGAACTTGGCGGGGACTGGAGATGGGGGTGGGCGGAATGGCTGGTACACTTGCTGCTGTTGGAAGCTTGAGGAGGGAGTTAGAGTGGCAGAGATGGGCTTTAGAGAAGAAGGTTTAGGATAGAGGAGGGGTGGTGGGCGTGGGTTGAGGAAGGAAGTGGAGAATAATAAGAGATTGGTGTTGGTGTTGGGGTTGAAAGAAGAGAAGGGTTTGAGAGTGTTTGCTGTTACAGAAAGCATGGTAGGTTTTTTGAAGTTGCCAATTTGGAGTGAGAGGCAGGGAGGGAAGAAGGAGCTTTGTCCCTTATCTGCTGATGATGATGCTTCTTCAGTTATGGAGCAAGAACAAAGTTTGTTCAATTCAGCTGAGATTTTGTTTAGCAAAGAAAGAAAGCAATGGGCTTCACCAGTTAGCTTGTTCCTAGCATCTTGTTGGCTATATGGCCCATATCAACTTCATCAGCCCAAATGAAAGTGCCCAGCTAAAAAAACCCAAAACCAAATACAACTTGTCAAACCCTAAATAGAATGCAGCCCAATTTGAAAAGACTGCTGGTATGTTTTGAAGAAATCAGCGACCATTGTTTTGGGGTGATTATTTTTGCTGAGTCGTGAGTGTGGATTTTTCCTGTTTGGAGCACTAATGACTGCACTTTTCCAGAGTGGATTTGGGGTGAATAAGAATATAGGTAGCAACCAAATGAGTTACGTCACCGCCGTGAAACTTTTGACCGAATATTCATGTGAGAGAGAGAGTTTGAATTTGTCAAATGCTTCTGGAAGTTCTAATCCAAGTTTGATTGACCAGCGACCACCAGGGACCAGTGACCAGTGACCACCCTTGAAGGATGCAGTCACATACCATCATCAAGCCCGTTCACACACAATCATAATAACAAAGCTGAAAGGGCAGCGAGAGTGATTATATAATATATTAGCCTGACCAGCTTTTGAAACACACAGCCACTAATCTACGAGTTAGTGACTTTGTTTGTTGTAATTCATGAGTCAAATAAGATTCAAAGCATGGACATCATAAGTGAAACATTGATTTACGTATAGATTTCTTTCTGGTATTAATTACTTGTTCAATCTTCTTCTTTTTTATTATTGAAAATGACACTTGATTGGCGCTTGGCTTCATACAATGTACCACATGCTCTATTTCATGACCTATTTTCTTGGCTGTGGGTGTGGCCTTACCAATTCAACAGGCAACTTGAATTAACAATAAACCAGTTATTAATTAATTAATTTATTGCTTTTCAATGGGCATTCATGTCTGATTACAAGAGACTATTTGGAGCGAGAGGGAGAGTGATGTATAAAAACGCAACCACATCCACATGCACGAGGGCTAATCAATAATAAAGCAACTTGACTCACTGACTCACTCACTGTCTGTCCGTTGGTTTATAATGCCTGGTCAAAGGCTGGCTGTGTTACATTACCCATTATTAATCATTATTAATGGAAGCTAACCAGAATATATTTACTTTATTTTTAAAAAAACATAACTTAAATCTCATACGTGAAACAGCAAAAAGCTCGCGATCGAAAGGAAAATGCATGCATCGAGCACCTTTTGCGTTCTTCTCTAACATTTTTTGAGAATTCAAATCAGCATTATGTTATGTGAGTTTTATTTTATAATAATGACTAATTTTATACTATGTGACGTTTCACTAGATATGGCTAGGCTATAGCCTATATGCCCACGAGGGAAATGTACCAAAGATTTGAGCTAATGATATAGATGGGACTTTTATTTGGTCGTCCGTTGAAGGAAAACAATTATATGAATAAATTGACCATTCATCCATCCATCCATCCATTTGCCTTGTTAATCTTAGTGATGCCCTGGGAAACTGTGGTCTTGTCTTCACCACGAAAGTAAAGAACTTGTCACTGAAAATGAACAACCAATAATGTGAACGACACAAGGGTACCAACTTGAACGATTTTGATTTATACAGGTTCATGCACTTTCCATATACCAATATACATAAAACTAGAATAACATATATAGTTATTCTTTCATTCAGATATTCGCACGTTATTATTATGCAGATGTCATTATAAATAGGGAGGAACGAAATACATGACATTTACACGATAATTACCTCAATACGTCAGCATAGGAGAATTTATATGCTATTTTCTCTTTTTCCTAATATTTCCCGTTTGGAGGGAATAAGAAAACTAAATAAATACGATTGCGATACATATAATAAATTATTGGAATTGAAATTGGAATTAATGTTTTGTAAGTATATATATCGGAACATGTTGAATTGGATAGGGACAGATGATGAGTATTAAAATGGTTATTGGCTGGTGGTCCAAAATAGACGGGGCCATGGAGCTCGCAGAGTTGATGTTGCTGCTGGGGGATCGATTGAGACATAATGCAATGCAAAGCAAACCTCTTCCATTTGTCTAGGTCATCTAATTTCCAGACTCCACGATTATTTATCACTTGTGTTAATAAAACAAGAATATTAAAATAAACAGCCTCTGAAAAGGGTATGTAGCATGCACGAACTTTGACTGGACTGAATGCATGATTTTGGTAAAGGAATTAGGAATTTAGGACTACTTCCATTACCGTCCACAAAAAGAGGAGACACTCGTGCATTATTATTATATATGCATACACATTGACTGTTAAATAAAATATATCTCCAGAGGCAGGCAAGGACGGAGCCACATATAGGCATGTAGTGACCGTGAACTCCTCCATAAAAAAATCAGTAACTCTTAAACACATTCTGCAATATCAGTTGAAATATAAAACTATAAAACCTGAAAACTAGAGTACTTGCCCTCAAAAGACAAGCTACTAACTCCGTTGCTATCCATAGGGATGGCTTTTTTCTTTTTATTTTTTATTTGTTATTTTATATGTGGGATTAAAAATGCTTTGGAGCTCTAAGACATATATATTCCCATGAACAAAGAAGGTTTGGTTTGAAACGGACTGCAGTCGAGAACTCCAACGTGGACACTTGCCATGCTATGCGATGACGTTGTCTAAACTTGATATTTCAAACATACATTAATTGCATTTCGAACAAATTACTGTAAACACACGATGACCTAGTAAGTTAATACGACTTCAAATTAGTTTAATTTAAGCTAGGCCGCCGATCGATGGAGATGGGCGTACCGTGTATGTGAGCGTGACAAGGACGGCACAACAAAAATCGTGAGCAATCCGACAATGAAACTAATAAACTTGCATAAACTTGGGGTTGGGTTGGGTGGTGTAGAAACTTGCAACTTGCAAGTGGAGAAGGAGGGCCACGAAAGCCCTCAACTCAACTCAACCCTCCTCCTCCTCATAATAATAATAATAATAATAATAATAATAATAAGCGCAGCGCACAATGAAATCATCTAGCTGATGTCATAAAATAATATTGAATTCTCACTATACCAAAAGAAACATGTAAAAAAATTGAATTCTTACCTGAGATGGCCGCCATATGTGTCTTTGACCCACGTGGATACTTGGCCCTCGCTCCCCTTCAAATTCAACCTTCTTTCTTTCCTTTTCACCATTATTTTTATTTCTTTATTATTATACTTCAAACCCATGTGGGGCCTTCCCTCCCTCCTTCCCCTATATAAGTTCAAAATATTTTCCATCACCCCAAACCACACACGCCACTCACTCACTACTATCTATCAATTCCAATTGTTCAAACGACACCTACGACAACAAAAATTCCATTTCCAGATTATTCATACTATGGATTCTGCATTCTTCCAAAACCCCATTTCTGAATTTTCCTTTGATTCTTCTTCTTCCTTCAACTCTACTCTAGATCAATACTATTCTTCTGATCATCATCATCATCTCTCATGGTCACGGGACATGTTCAACTTTGTTGATTACCACCATCACAGTCAACCCTTGCCCCAGCTACCCTTCAATGAGAACGACTCCGAAGAAATGCTTCTCTATGGAGTTCTTGCGGAGGCGCCCGCAGGAGGAGATCACAACAACTCATCGGAGTCAATAACTCATTCCAACAAAGATATTCACGAAGAGGTGAATTCTTCTAATTCCACTCCCGAAGAGGATCAAGCGATTTCCTACAGAGGGGTTCGGCGGCGGCCCTGGGGAAAGTTCGCGGCGGAGATAAGAGACTCCACTCGAAACGGTGTCAGAGTTTGGTTGGGGACATTTGATACGGCGGAGGAGGCAGCCTTGGCTTATGACCAAGCAGCATTTGCCATGCGGGGTTCTTTGGCTGTCCTCAACTTTCCAGCCGACGTCGTTTATCAGTCACTTGTGGAGATGAAGTATGGATTCGAAGAGGGTTCGTCTCCGGTGTTGGCCTTGAAGAGAAGGCACTCCCTCAAGAGGAAGTCGTCAATGAAAAAGAAGAAATTATCAGATCATCAAAAGAATGATGAGAATGATGATGAAGATCAGTTGGTGTTGGAGGATTTAGGCGCAGACTATTTGGAGGAGCTTCTCACCATATCTGCGATGACCTAGCTACGGCTAATAGTGCTGCGAGCCGTCCTCATAGAAATTGTCCGTTAGTGTCGGCCATGCAATTTTTGGACCTTGTTTTTTCTTTTTTGGGAAAGTAAAGTTGGATTGAGGAGGTGGAGATGACGGCCACTAGGTGATTCTTAATTTCTTCTTAGATAAATGTCATTCACCTTTGTCTCTTCCTTGTATAAATTTCAAGATAATTGATGAGTAAAGTAGTTTTTAATTAGTCAATTATGACAAAGAGAAAGAGCAGTTGGTGTACAGTTCTTTGCTAATTATTTTAGTCTATATTAATAATTGATTAATAGATTTAAAGTAGTTGAAAAAGAAGAAGAAGAAGAAGAAGAAGAAGAAGATAAGATAAGAGTGCTGTTGGACCTTGATTATGACCGTTCAAACAGTTATTAGAGTTTACATTTGAAAAGGCTGCTGTCACAACCAATTTCAGCTACCTAAAGAATTTATCTCACAAATAATAATATAATGTAAGAGATCATATACGACAGAGACCCACATTATGCATTCTTCTTCTTCATCTTCTTTCTGTTTCTCCTTTTTTTTTTTTTCCTTCTTTTAATTCAAACGATAGTCTAAACTAAAGAGAGAATGATTTTTCACACACTCTATGATGTTATATGAATTCAAATTTAAGATCACTAATTTACAAGTCAAAATCATTTTCTATTTTCCAGTGAATTAAACCATGAGCTTGTTTCTCCTGTTTAAGAGTCAAAATAGAATACAAGTTACGCCAAAACATCTTCTATCAATATATTTAATAAAATAATAATAATATATGGTCGAACCAGAAAAACAATAATAACTTGACCGAGTCACTAAATTGAATGCATGATTAGATGGATGAGGATCTTTTGATACTTTCTTTATTGGATCCTCTCTGAAGTATATATAAAATAAAGGAAATAGTGTTAATTTCTGCGTCTCTTGGGATCGATATTTCTAAAGCCATTAACTACGTGATGCGAGATATATAGATATATAGCGTTAAATTTAGCACGCCATGTATGTGTGGACCATTTCTCATTAGTCATGGTGTTGGATAGATGAAGGGAAACAGTGACATGCATCAATCTCAATTGAGGCACACAGTGCTTGCTTTGTAATTTGCATATGAGGCCAAAGCCTTGTTATTGTCGGCAAGCAGCAAGTGGGCAAAGCAACAACATTATATTCATGCATTTGAGATATAGGCTCGCCCAACTGTTGGTATCAAAGCACCCATTTTTTCACAAACTTGGAATTAGTTCCAAATTTTTTGTAATTTTTGTCCCTATTTTTGCTTGTGAATTTTAAATTAGGTTTGCAAATATTGGTCTCTTTCTGGCTTTGGCTGTTTGTGCTCCCTGCTTCTATTCTAACACCTTATTGTTTCTGGCCCTTTTCTGGTGGGCTTCCTGTTCCTTTTGGACTTCCTTGCCTCCAGACCCCCAATCAACCAATCCCATTGGGTAAAATAAATGGTTTGTCACACAACCCAAGATTCAAGAATATCAGAGGCAAAACTCGAACCATCAAATTAACAACTTCTGAAGATAAAAAGTTACACTGAACTGAAATGAAGCAAACAGATGAGAGACATTGACCACTGGCTAGACAAAAATTGATCAGTTCGTGTGTAAGACTTATTCGTTTCATCTCTACATCTACAGCACCAAAAACTGCATATACTTGTATAAAAATCATGGTATAGAAGAAGCTGAGGGCTTGCATGGTGGTGGTGGTGGTGGTCGCTGCAAAAGCCTAACACGGGGCTTTTCAGGTGGGGCAGGGGCTACCATGTGGACGGGATTAGCGCGTCTGGGAGAAGGTGGTGCACTTCCAATTCTTCGGCCTGCTAAGTTCACAGAGAAACCAGCTGCGTTTGCAACTTGAAGCACCGTATTACCAGCATCATGGATATCATCATGTAACGCTTGTGGCATTGCAACGTAGCTTTTGGCCATTTGACTATTTTGTGAGAGACACAGTAAACCAACAATTGGAAATATTATCAAAAACAAGCGACAAGGAGCCATTGTTAGTTCACAGTTCACACAGTCACTTGAGCTACTTAATTATGGTTTGAGTTCTTTCTTTGTAATGCTTCAAATACATATATATATATATATATATATAAATCCATATGTACTCATTTTGTCTGGTAATGGCAATGTATATAATATGAAAAACTTTTACCTTTATTAGGTGCAATAGTCATGCTATACTCTTTGGAGTTTCTCTCCCACACAGACAAAATTAATATATACATGAAGGTCTAGCATCCAGAAATTAAGGAAAATACAAAATTATATATTGTTGAATAAGATTCCATTGACTATGTCAACTTGGTCCTTCCAAGGATACAAGTCAAGAGGAGACCCAACTGCTGCCTAGAAAAGTTTTTATGTATTTATTTATTTTTCATCCCATTGAATATTGTTATGAAGATTTAGGATGGATTGTTTCCGTTGATTTTGTTGTGCTTTGTAAATCATAAATCATAATCAAACTCTACACGAATGGATTATAGACAAAACCCCATCCCTACTTCTACTCGTGTGATGAGCAGAAGGGAAAATTAATATTTTATGATCATTGACTAAACCCCACTGCTTTTTAAGTTAAATATTTAGACGGCAAGAAAAAGGCCAAAAACTCCTGTCCTGTTTATTTCCTGTTGCATTTTCTTTAATTAAATTATTCATTATATATTCCAACGAGAAAATGTCCACAACAAATGAATTCAAACTTGATCATACCTCTTGTAATATTAACAAGGGAAAGGACTACTTAATAATATTACAATAATGCCAATATAAAAGAAATTTTGCAAGCTAACCTTTCAATGAGACTTTTGCAATATAAAAGATGTTGATATTTCTTCCTTCCTGGCCTATTGAAGGACTACATGACGTTCTGTCTCTTTTATTTTTATTATTTTTATTTATGTTTTTACAGTTGTTATGAAATATTTTATTCATTCCCGATATAAACCCAAAATAAAAATTCAAAAAAGAACCGAGTATAGCCAAGCGGGTTTAGGGTAATGGCCTGATAGTAATGGATAATACTCTAAATTATTCTTATCGATAAACAAAAATTGAGGAAAAAAAATATAAAAGAAAAAAAAGATCACACTATATATATATAAAGCGTATAGCCGTTCGGCTATACTGTTTATTAAAAAATATTTAAAAAAAAGTGCAGCCGTCCGGCTATACTAGTTTTTTAAAAAAAAAAAGATTATAGCCGTTCGGCTATACTATTTATTAAAAAAAAACAAAAGAGAACCCGCCCAGCGATTAGGTGCCAACATGTCAAAATAAGTATAGCCGGGCGGCTGATGTCTATTTTTTGGCCTTTCTTTTCTGAAGATATACATACATTTGGGAGTACTCTGTATTATTATGTACATGTGTTAAGTTTCTAAGACCTTAAAGTGTTTTGCATCCAGGCATTTGCTGTCATTGTTGCTTCTCCACTGAAAATAGATCTATCATGTGTGTTGGAGCATGATTGCAGAGTTGACTGCATTCTTAAGGAAGGTATGGGAATTTACTTAATTTGTTGTTGAATTCATAATATTTTTTACAAAATGTTTTATGAAATTTTTTCTTAGAATCACTCAAAGACCTATGAAATTAATCCTAATATTTTTTGCCTTTGTGGAAATCAGACTAATCAGCCTCTAAGACAGGCAACATTGGGGACCCGGAATTCCCTAATTGTTGCTTACGGAGATAAAATTGGCTCATCTGCTTATGAAGTTATTATTGTACAACTTGCCACACTGATAAGGTTTCTCTTGCTACTTCCACCAATTTTAGTTTCTTCTTTTCAAATTTTTGTGTGATTGGTGGCTGGGTGGTTTAGTTTCTGAACCCTAGTGTCTATCTAATATCCATTTCCAGTGATTCGGACTTGCATATGACGGCCCTCGCCCTGGAACTCTGCTGCACCTTGATGGCAGACAGGTCAAGCCCGGTTGTTGGTTTGGCTGTTAGAAACAAACTTCTTCCGCAAGCACTAACGTTAATTAAGAGCTCATTGCTTCCGGGGCAAGCCCTTTTGGTAATTTTATCTATCTAACTCGTTGTCTTGATCTAGAAACTCTGATTGAGAACATTCTTTGTTGGATATTGCGGGCTTTACAAAACTTTTTTGCTTCCTTCAATTGGTGTATTCTGCAAACACAAGTTTTGATACCTTACTAGACTCTCTGCTATCAAGTGCTAAACCATCTCCCCAGTCAGGTGGGGTTGCAAAACAAGCTTTGTATTCAATAGCTCAATGTGTGGCTGTCCTTTGCCTTGCTGCCGGTGATCAGCAATGTTCATCTACCTTGAACATGCTAACTGAAATTCTCAAAGATGACAGCAGTACGAATTCAGTAAGTCCCCCGGCCCAAAGAAAACAACTCAGTTAGGGTTATCTTCAGATGACAGTGTTTTGGTTTTTGTAAGCAAATAGGGATAGACTAATGAACTTTTCACGATTTATTATTATTTGGTAATCTTAAAAAATGAAGGCAATTTGGTGGTAGGCAAACTCTCGTTATAAATTTGGGGTAGATTGATTGAATCTAGTTGATTTATTGTTTTTTTATTATTATATAACTTTTCTTTGAGCCCGGTATAATTGCTTTCTTCATATGATATAGGCTAAGCAGCACCTTGCATTGCTGTGTCTCGGGGAGATTGGAAGGAGGGAAGATCTTAGCTCCCATGACCATATAGAGAATATTGTCATTGAGTCCTTTCAATCTCCTTTTGAAGGCATCAAATCTGCAGCCTCCTACGCCGTTGGCAATATTGCTGTTGGTAACCTGCTCAAGTATTTGCATTTTATTTTGGACCAGATTGACAATCAACAGACAAAACAGTATCTCTTGCTTCATTCTCTGAAGGAGGTGCATTCTTCTGAACTTTAAGAGCTTGATTTTGTATACTGAAATGTTTTTTCTGTTGGGTTTAAGTTTATTTTCAACCATTTTTCAGGTCATAGTAAGGTAGTCTATAGATAAAGCAGAGTTTCAGGATTCGAGTGTTGAGAGAAGATACTTAATTTACTTTTTAGTCACTGTGAAAGCGAGGAAGAGGGTGTTCGCAATGTAGCAGCTGAATGTCTGGGTAAAATTGCACTTATTGAACCTGCAAAACTTGTTCCTGCACTTAAGCTATCTGGTCAAATGACCCTGTGCCGATTATGAGTAAAGAGTATTTTTAACTTTTATTTTTAAGTATAGCCGAGTACTTTTATTTTTATGTATAGCCGAGAGGCTATACGTAAAATATAAATAAAAATTGTATAGCCGAACGGCTATGCTATAGACTAAAAATAGTATAGCCGTGCGGCTATACAAATTAAAATTTTTTTTCCCCTAACTTCAAAAATAACTCGATTCTAACATCATTTGGCCTTTCATGAGATGAAATTGGTTCTATATAATGAAAAATAAGATTGTTTCGTAAAAATAATAGACTAGTTTAAAGGATTGTTGTGGCTTTACTCATTAAGTAATACCAAGAGTAATTTATAAAACGTAATAATTTTTCAATTTGATTCTAGAGGTCGACAAGAAAATTTGAATGGTGGAAAAAAAATAATGTCCAACCAAACTACATATTTAATTAGTTGAGGCTTGAACTAGCTGTTAAGTCTCATTTGATAACTAGTATTGGATTGGATTGGATAACTCCTTATATTTAAAGCATATGTTTAAGGAAAAAAAGAAAAGGAAAAAGACCAAGTTGAAGGTAGAAGATGGATTACTCATGAAGAAAATTTATTCCATCTAATCCCCACAAAATTGTAGAATAGCAACATTTTATAATTAATCCCTCCTAATCCCCCAAAAATGGAAAATCATTCACATCTACCTTCATTTCCTCCTTCAAAATACCTTAGATTTAGCGACTTATCCAATCCAATCCTGAGTGAGTGATCTTGAACTGGAATTGGTGGAGTTGGTAGAGGGAGGAGTTGTCGTCATTGTTCTTCGTCTTTTACAAAAAATAGAAAAACCAGGTATCGCCGCTCGGCTATAGTATTTCTGTTCAAAAAATTAGGAAAAAATAAGTATAGCCGGGCGGCTATACTAAAAAATAAAAGTAAAACAATAGTATAGCCGAGCCGCTATACTACACTTCAAAATAAAAAATTAGTATAGCCGCGCTGCGACACCAAAAAAAAAAAGTAAGTCGTCTGGCTATATACTCCAAATTCAATATAGTATATTTCAAACGTATAGCCGTGCGGCTATACGATTTATAAAAAATAAAGAAAAAAACACAAGTATAGCCGCATGAATGTATTATTTATTAAAAAATTATAATTTTCGCAATTTACAACTGAAAAGTTCAGCCACTATATATAATTTTATAATAATTTATTTTAATATTTTAATATATATTATTTTTATTCAATAATATGTGAAATTTATGTGTATAATACTTAAATTTTGTATGTATTATTGAAAACTTTGTAAAAAGCACTTGTATTAAATATGAAAAATATGTACGTACGTATACAATACATGTATTGTATGTTTGCTTTATAAAAGAACTTGTATTTTACCGAGCCTTTAACACGTATACAAAAAATGGAAGTGTTGTTGAAAAATACATACATACGTGTATAATACGACTATTAAACGAAAAAAATACTAAATTATGTAAATAGATAATACCAATGGAAAAGTTAAAAATCAAAAGGGGACAATAGAAACTCGGACAATGGTCTAATAGTAATGGATAATACGATAAACTATTCTTATTTATAAACAAAAAAAGGGGAAGAATAATTTTTTTTCTTTAAAAAAAAAAAAGGACGAACAGCTATACTATTGATTATTAAAAAATTTAAAAAAGGACCCCATATAGCCGCGCGGCTATACTATTTATTCCAAAAAATAATAATAAAAACAACGGCGTATAGCCGCGCGGCCTCCCCAGTTTGGCATCTTAGTTTCGAGTCCATCTATTAATTATATTGGCAATGGCATATATACATATACTGCAGGGAATAGCGAATGAAGCTTGTGTAAGTCATTAAGCAGGACATGGCATGGAAGGAGTCATTAAGATGGGCACCAAACTGTGACGAGACCTGCAGACACAAGGAAGAGGCGGTCCTGGGAGAGTGTGAATTTGGTAAATGCGTCTGCTTTCATTCAAATTGTACAGATAATAATAAATAGAAACAACACTTCCTTTCCTTGCTTAAATAAAAGGAAAGGAGAGTTCCATTTCATCGGATGATCTATTAATTATGTGCTGAATTAATATCATCCGTGTGTTTATTAGATTGCATTGCATCACGTATGCATACAATATCAATATCACCTTCATATGACGTCGATATTGCCGACATTATTGTCTCATTATTCGAATAAATATGAATTAAATAATTTCAAACTCAGAGATATTCATCTCATCTCCACCACCTGCTTGTATGGTTTGTTGCCACAAGTGTGTGAGAATTGTAGTTGAAACTGAACAAAGGGAGCCGAAGAAACTGATGGAAATATTAATGTCGATAGCAAAAGGAGGGTACTAGGGTGGATGAAATATTTAAGCCAATTAATGATATGTAACAAGAAGTGATCCAGAGGAGAGGAGAGTGAATGAGGATGAATAGCAAGCATTGATAAAGATGATATGCCTCTCTCACATCCACATCCACATCCACATCCAGATCATAATCAATCAATGCTGCGGACAAACCATTTTTCACCCAAAATTTGAGCGAAGGCTGAAGCTAAGCTGCCACTTTGTTAATCAATCACCAGTCGAACTGTAAATTTTATAATTACAACCATCATTGAATTTGTTTGACATTTGAGTGTTTGAGAGTTGAGTTGAGAGAGGAAACACATGGTTTTTCGTTTTTGTTCAATTAAGGAACCTCAAGCAAGATAATCTGTTTGATAATATGCGGAAGATGAAAGAATACAAGGTGGCTCAGTTATCCTCTATATAACTAGCTATATATATCTATCTATGACGATGGTGGTGACGGTGGTGGTGGTGATGGCAGTGATGGTGACTGAAATGGCAGCGGCGGCAGTGGTGCTGATGAGTTTGATGATGGAGATGGCTGCAGTGGTGGCAACATTGGCGCCTCTGGAGGAGGAGGAGGAGGTATTAAGGCGAAATGGCCACGAGTATGACTATACAGAGGTGGCGGCGGCGGAGATCGAAAGCGATTGGTTATCATAGAAGAAGCTGCTGTTGCTTCGGCTTCTGCTTCAGCTTCAGAATCAGAGGCCTTCACCCTCTCTTTAAAACCTGATCCTGCTGCTGGGAGTCCCACTCCCACATTAATCAACAACACTAACAAACTCACCACCAACAACAACAAATATGAAACACTAACACCCATTTGGATGGAGCTCTGTTGCAAATGGATTATGTATCATCTACTTTATATGTATCTATGGACTATGGGGTTTGCTGCTTGCTCCTGCTCGATTTATATAAATAAAACAAGTATCATGTGGTGAACTCGTGTCCGTCAGAAGATACACATTTCAATTCAATTAATATCCACCCACTCCACTAGATATAAATAATACTTGAAAAACACAAACACAAGAAGAAGAAAATAAGAAAATATTGCATTTACTTCAAATTTGACAATCATGCAGTTACCTACCTCATCCATTCCCCTAAACTAACATCAAGATCTACCCAAACACTCCCAGTATACATATTGCATATACAATAAAATGCAGGCCATGTAGAAAAGCATTCCAATTTGACATAACAGCTTGGTGCTGCAAACGAAAGGGTCATGTTTTGCAACAGAGTTCCACCTTCCAAGAATATATGAATCTCATGACGGCTTCAGTGCTCTCACCGCCGCAGCAAAAATCTAAAATTCATTGACAAAAGTCTTCAGGTTAGGCAATTCACAAATGGCTATTATTACACTCCACTAATTGACAGTAGTACATCAAGAGTTTCAACATATGCACAATAAAACAATTGAAAGAAGATGGCATCACAAGCGCCACGTATTACCAGGTTTATTATTGCATCCTGACCATCAATATTAGGTTACATCAAAGAGGATCCAAATTAGGTGACTAGAGCTAGCCTACGCTTAATAAACCCACAGCTGACAAATATCAGATGAAAAGGCCTATTTTCCACTTTGAGGAGCCTTTTGTTTTCAACCAAGAGGGCTTTCGGGCATTGGATCATCACCAATGTTTGCATTACTCATGCGGACAGTCTCTCTTCCGCTTCATGTGCTCCCCTCTAGGTGAAATGCTGCCCTACCAATGCATTGTTTTACAAACCAAAGTAAGAATTCTATCATAGTTCTGTCTTCACTCCACAACCAGATATATTCTATGCAGCCTTGTAATGCCTTTTGGTTAAAATGACCCAACCTCAAATCAAATACTACAAACAGCTACACAAAATACAAAACCAGATTTCACAAATAAAATAATTCAAATCTGATTTTTTAATTCCCGAAACCGGGGAACAGAATGAACTAGAACAAAGGACATTATTGTACTGCAAGCAGTGGAATTATGCAATAAGAAAATATGTTGATAAGGAAGGTGAAGAAGGAATTAGGTTACTAGTATAGACTCAAAATCAGCTTGCAGTAGAGCATCAAAGAGCACAACTGATGCAGTACCGCAGTGAAATAGCACACAAATTTATGTGCCAAAATTGTCATATTTCAGCTAGTATTACGTGTCAAAGTCATGCACAAAAATCAAATTAAAATGAAACCATACCTTATAAAATATTAAAATACATTGACTTCACACACAATTCTTATAATGGAATCAAAGTGTGCATGCATTTGTTTCAGGTATACTACAAAACTGAGAGAAGAAACTGCATACCTTAGAAGGTGCACCAGGATGAGGTCTCAAACCTCCAGAAGAAGGTTGACTGGGGCTGGTGATTCCCTCAGACTTAATGGGACTTATTTTCTCCTTGTTATTTGATGTTAATGCCCCCTTATTAGAGGTCTCACTTAAGTTAGCAGATGGCGTTGTATCCTCTTCAAAAGATTCACACTTTAATGGAAGTGTCCTTACGGATTGTGCTGTATTGGTTTGGGGAGTTGTTTCAAAATCTTGAACTCTCTTGGAGAACTGTGTAGCTGCTGCTCGTGCACCAGCTATGGCTGCTGTGAGACTTGAAGATCTCTCCAGTTCAGAAGTTCTAGTTTCTGGGACATTTGCAGAGATAGACCCTGGTTTCAATGAAAATGGATCTTGTGGATTTGGAAGTAAAAATTTTACTGGAAGGGGACCTTCAACCGGGGTAAGACCTCTAATGGCAGCTTCATATATCTGAGACAGGTAAATAAGTTAGATCCGCTACAAAATATACTCACAGAGAGACAGAGAGACAGAGAGAGTGTATGCACCTTCTTTTCCAAGTTATAAACACCTTGGTACCCACGCATCTCAAACGGAATTAACAATTTCTGCATTAATCAGATAAACAAAAGCTTTATTATATAAAATGGTTACTTCTTCAAATCACAGGAGTAGCCAGAAATGGACCAGTGTGAAAATACACACCTGTGGCTGCTCGCAAAGCCAACATAAATCAGTTTGTGCTTCCAGCCTCACCTGCATATGAACAGTCAAAGCTTAATCAACAGTGCCTTGGAGCCCATGAAATCATCACCTTGCTATATTATGAAATAAAAAGGTCATAAATAAATAGGTAGCCCACCCCTTCAGGTACCATCTCCCAGCATGCTAGTTCTTCACGTCTAACACATCCAACCACTTCAACACACCCTATGTCAAAGATGAAACCGAATGTCAAAATTTGTGAGCATGAGAGAGAGATATAGACGAAGAAAGAGAAACATAATATCCAAAGAAACTTCAGTATTTTTATATATTAGAATTATGGAATTATCAACAAAACATGGAGTCATAAACCAAAAGCACAAGATGTCTACAAGAGAAACCCACCTAGGTAAGCACGACAAAGAACGTTTAAAACAACCGTCATAAAAGCTATACAGAACAGAAATTTTACTATGGAAGTATTTTGCCATCCCCCCACCTCTCAAAAAAAGGGAAGTAAAGAAACAGCCTCAGTAAAACATCTTAGAATAAAGAGACTTCAAACTTTAGTTGCAAAAGTTTCCAAAAGGCTACATATTCCTGAGCTTAATAATTAATTCACATGCAAATATGTTTAGCAACACAACTTGAACCAGCCGACTCAAAATCCAGTTGGTATAAGCATGACATGTGAGGGTGCCTTTGGGTATTTTCATCCTTTCTTTCCAATTATCTGATTGATCTTAACATCCACAAATTTGTGCACACACACACACACACACACACACACACACACACAAGGAACGTGCATCACAAAAAGTACCAAACTTGGAATACCTAAAAGTCTTGAAACTGGATAATGTTCTGGAAATCTAAGATCAGTGATTCCATCCACTGCATAAATTTCCCTGTAGAAGTCCTCCATTGCTTTGATTGTAGCCTCATCAGGAACCTTACTAGCGGCATGAATCCAAAGGCGCCCTTCAAAATACAAATTCAAGGCTTTAGAAAAAGGCTCGTCTCAAAGTTCAAAATTATAATGGCAATGAATATAATCATAATAATAAGAGTACCCAAAAAAAAAAAAAATGATCAAAATTGAAGAGCAAAAAACCAATTTAACAACAGTAATGCTTGATAATCCTACATTAAACTTTTTCCTTTTAAAGAATAAAAAGAGAAGATTGAGATCCCACTAAGTAGTTTAGACGTTCAGCGGACAATTCAGCGAGTTAACCAAAAAATCCAATCTTTTGCTCAAAATCAAATGCTTACAAACTAAAAAATTAGCAGCTTACTTAAAGTTTTCTACTTGTTCAGTTCCCAATATATAAAATATTTCTAACCTCAATATTCTCACCCTCTTCTTTTCCGCTCTTTCCCAGCTGGCAAATAGACCACATTCTCAAAAGTTCAAAGCTTAATACTTCCACGGCAAAGATGATGAGAATAAAACCAAACGGGTATTGAAATTTTGAACTGAATTCAGAGGTTTTAAGGTTCAAACCTCTAATAGGAGCGGCCCATGTCCGGCCTTCGATGCGCTTGATACCATAAACCAGCAACGAAGCCCATGGCTGGTGCATAGTCAAACATGGGTTTCTGTAATTCCCAGAAGAATGCCCTCTTCTCATTTCTGCTTCTTTGATTCTTCAGAAGGGACAGGCAGTTTGATTCTCTCGCTGCTAATTGTTTCCGAGAATCTCCGATAAACTTATTAGTTACGGGAATGATTTTGATGAGTCAATAATTAGGAAAGCCTTCTTTTTTCGTGTTTTGTTTTTGTATGCTTATTTTTTGGTTTTAACCTATAGTTTTGTTTTTTTGTTTTTTGGTTTTTTTTTTATCCTTTTGGTTTTTAACCTGTTCAATATTCTTTTTATGATATATTTATTAATTCGTAATTGGAATTAAACAGAATTAAATTGAGAATGAATTGAATTTAAAATAATTTAAAATTCAATTATACTGTTTATTAAACTATATATAATCGAGATAAAAAATGGTATTGATTAAATTATTTACTAAATTATCATGAGGTGGGGGATGGTTTGGTCCCTGGGGTGGGATTTTGGGCTGGAACTTATGCTCATGATAAACTCTTTTTCTCTGAAATGGGGTGGGCTACTTGTTTTTGTCATGGATATGTGACATAACTGTTCTTGTTTGTTGGTTTAATTAGCCCACTCAGATGAGGTGATGGTGAAAGCATCCTAGTATGAAATTAAATGCTTAGCCCGAGGGTACCACCTTACTAGTGAATGGTGTAGTTATTTAAAAGAAGGAATTCTTTCTTACCTATGAGCCGTTGCATCTTTTCGTGCAGGAACATATTTGCACGATGCTTGGCCGATGGTGAAATCTGCTTTAGAAGAGTATGATATTTCATGCAGATTGAATTTGGTATGTCCTGATAAATGTTGTTTTTTGAGAAATGTTGAATTTGTAAATATGAAATATTGATATTTGGGAAATCTATTCTTGATTGATCGGGGGTCAATTCAAATTATGTACGATTGGATGCAAACACTAACTTGTTCTACTTTTTAATCATGGTCAGGTTTTTGGTTACATAACAATCAAAACATCCAGGACAACTGACCCAGATATTATTGTCAAGGCCAAGCAGCTTGTTGAACTCTTGGCGATACATATTCCTGTACATCAGGTACAAATGGTAGTCCTTTGTTATTCTTTCTCATCTGCATCCTATGAGCTATACTGTGGTTTGAGGAAGCTGCCAAGGCAGTACGGTATTTATTTTTGCAGTTTCAATGCGACTCTCATCTCCTTGAAGGCAATAGCATGCTATTTATATTGGTTGCTTTCAAGTGAGGATGTATTTAGGGTTATTGTTGTTATATTATTATTGCAGAGGAAGCTTAATTGCACCGACTAATGTTGAGGTTGTATGGCACACGTTGATGCATGTGTCGATTGGTTTTATTTTTTATTTTATATTTTATTTTTAGTATTAAGAAAAAATAACATGAGTAGTTATGTTCCATAAAAGTATGACTTATTATCTGATTTTGTTTTTAATTTTAATATTTTTAATATACAAAATGTAATTTACCATATTATCCTTATTTAATTAATAATTTAAATTTTTAATGTTTGACTTAATCAATGACATTTTCTGATATTTTGAATATTTCACAATTCTCTGCATTTTGCTATATATAGATAGATTATTGAGTAATGCTATTTGAAATTTTGAACCATAAGAAAATGGACTTAGAAAGAAAAAAGCTTTATTACCAAATAAAGGAAACCAATAAGAAGGCCCAAAACGATATAATAGGTTATAGGAGGAGTTGCCAAGTCCAAGCTCGCTTCCTATATTAATGAATACTACCAAGCAAGGGTAAATTAATTCAGAACCCCCTTCCTCGACGATGCTTTCCTTCCAACCATGGAGGATGGAGCAGCGGCCATGTTGTGTGAGATGTGTAAATTAATGTTTTTAGGCGACAGCAGACAAAAGACAGTGGGAAAAACACTCGTATGGGTTGTTTTTGTAAGTATGCCTCGTTTTTGGTTTTAACCTGTAGTATTCTTTTCTTTTTATAGGAACCTTTCTCCCTTCTTTTTTGTTGTCATTTTTGTGGGAGCAGATATTTTCGTCTCCAATCACAGCTCGCCACGTGGAAAAGAAGATTATCTCTTTTAATTAATTAATTGAACCAGTTTATCTGGCCAATTAATTAATTGGGATAAATATCTTAATTAACATGATATTATCTTTATTTAATAAGATAATATCATTAATTAAGATATTATCCTAATAAAGAGAAGATAATGTCATTATCTCAGATATTATCTCCATAAAAAGAGATAATATCATTTAATTAAGATATTATCTCCATAAAAAGAGATAATATCATTAAATCAGATATTATCTCAGTCCGACTCGATCCCTACGAATTTGGGTAGAGAATAAACTCAGCATATTCTCTACGAAACCCTAGCCCCGAGGCTCCTATAAATAGATGACTTCATTCATCATTCAAGGTACATCTAAACCTACTCCTTATACCCGAGAACAATATCCGAAGCTCTTTCTCCCTCTCCACTCTCCATATTTTCTTCACACGGCTCCGGCCACCACACACGGCTCCGGCCGCCCGGTTCACACCCTACATAAACACTACTCCGTACCCTTTGCTTAGCTATTGTTTTCTACAAACACTCGAACTAACTTAGGCATCGGAGGGCCTTTGGCCAACACCCCCCGGGTGTGGTCTATTTACTCCAATCTGTTTTACAGGAATCGAGGAAGAGAGAGAAGGAAGATCGAAGGTTGAAGGATCTAGAAGCGAATATTCTCCCGTGAGATTATTTGCACAAACAATTTTTATAGGAACCTATCTAGTATTTAGAAGGGGGGACACATTACATTTGTAGTAGGATTTGAGGTTTTTCCAGTCATCAAAGGGAATGCGATCATAATTACATATACTAGACCCAAAAAATATCACTTTAAAAAAAATCTGGTTTTGATGTATTTGGCAAGCAAATCTGATGAAGTTTCCTAAGAAGGACAGTATATATATATATATGCCTTTTATGTTTGAATCAAATGTCAACAAAAAAAAACACCAAGTTAATATATCTAATAACTCTCAACTCAAGGAAGGTATTTCCTTTACAGCAAAGTTTGTACTCAATTGTCAATTCCCACCCAACACTGAAAAGAACACTTTCATCTTGTAGCAGAAAAAGAAGAAAACAAAAACAAAAAAAAGAATCTTATACTGTTCACTCTTCTGTAGACAAGGAAAAGAAAGAAAAACAAAATGAGGGTCACCCATTTTCCCATTTGTTCTCCTCCCTCTGCTCAAACTCAAAAGGCATTTCCCACTTTTTCCCTTCCAACTCCCAAAAACAGAAGAAAGTTTCAAACACCACTCTCCAACGCTGAAACGACACCCTTTTCTACAGAAAACGACAGCCAGAACCAAACCCACCGTTCCCCACCAAGGCTCATGCTTTTCTTTCACTCCCTCTCTTCCTCTCCTTCTGCTTCTTCTCTCTTCATGTTTCAGTCGTTCAATTATTTTCAATAGAGCGTTGACTTTTCAGTCATTGACCGCACCTAGGAAATGGACCAATCAGTTCTGGACGACATAATCAATCGTCTTCTGGAAGTCCGAGGCCGACCCGGAAAGCAGGTCCAGCTATCTGAGTCCGAGATCCGGCAACTTTGTTTGGCCTCTAAAGAAATTTTCTTGCAACAGCCTAATTTGTTAGAGCTTGAAGCACCCATCAAGATTTGTGGTATTTTTCCTTTGCCAAAATCCTTCCTTTTCTTTCCTCCGTTTTATTTCAGTCTTTGATAGTGGGTTTATTTCACTTGATTGAACTATGAATTATTTGTGACTAATTGGAAAGCCCGTTTCTTTGATTTGACTAGGTCATCAGTATTTCAAATATTTCATGTGAACCCATTTTCTGTGTTCGTGTGTGGGCTCACTCGGTTGTGTTGGTTGTGGATAGCTGTAAATGGGAGCATTTTTAGTTGGTTTATTCTGAACCCCATGTTTGTTCTTGTGGAATAACCCATGAAAATCGTGCTGTTATTGCTAACCTTACTTATATTTTGTTATCAGGTTTACTGTCTTTGGGCATGGTAGAATTACTTCATTTAGATGCCTATACAAAATAATTAAGAGCTTCATTCAGGAATTTATGTTAATAAATTATTAAGCCAATGTTGGTACTTTGATATACATCAAGATTATCATTTGTGTGGTTAAAGTCATCTGGTTACTGATTTTGAGCATGACCTTGTTTGCCAAACGATATTGTAGATAGAAGTTATCAGAGGAACTATTGAGCTTGACTGCAGGCGTTTGCTTTATGGTATAGTATAGATATGTTTTTAGATAAAAGGTCATTCTTTTTAATCTTTCAGATATTAGAGGGTGTTGCATAAGATGTTGTTACGGGGGGAACTTAGGGTTTATGTGTTCTCTAAATAGCAATAAAATCCTAATCTGAATAATAGCTCTGGTATGCTATTTTAATGTATAAAATAGAGAGCAGGTACATGATCTCTTTGTGAAGCTGCATGTTTTGTGCTCAGTTCATCATTTCTTGTTGGAAAGTTGGGGAGACCAAATAATTTAGAAAATTTCAGTCTGATTGCTAAGTTAATCATTCGGATGCTTATCTTGATATTTTAATTACTTATCTGCGTTTTCATATAAATGACATTAATTTTCAAAGGTTTATTAATGTCACGGATTCTTAAAAATGAACTGTTTATGGTTTTCAGGTGACATACATGGTCAGTACTCTGACCTTTTAAGGCTTTTTGAGTACGGTGGATTACCTCCTAATGCCAATTACTTATTCCTAGGGGATTATGTGGATCGTGGAAAGCAAAGTTTAGAAACAATATGTCTTCTCCTTGCATATAAAATAAAATATCCTGAGAACTTTTTCCTCTTGAGGGGAAACCATGAATGTGCTTCTATAAACCGTATATACGGATTCTATGATGAGTGTAAGAGAAGATTCAATGTGAGGCTATGGAAGACGTTCACAGAATGTTTTAACTGCCTACCTGTGGCAGCTCTGATTGATGAAAAGATCCTCTGCATGCATGGGGGTCTTTCTCCTGAGCTGCAGAATTTAGATCAAATCAGAAATTTACAGCGGCCAACTGATGTACCAGACGCAGGTTTACTCTGTGATCTTCTCTGGTCTGATCCCAGTAAAGATGTTCAAGGTTGGGGAGGGAATGACCGGGGAGTTTCATATACATTTGGTTCTGACACAGTAACGGAGTTTCTTCAGAAGCATGATTTGGATCTCGTTTGTCGTGCTCACCAGGTTTTATTTGCTTGAATTTTTTTGGTTTCAGTTCATATCCTCTATACACTTGCAGGACTGTAGGGAATATACCTGTGGGAGCCAAACACCTCTCCTATCAGAATTTATATGGTGATATTGGGGGTTTAGAGTAGTTCTAATTTTTTTGTTCTTTTTTGTTCTTTTTTTAAAAAATTCAGAGTTTACATCTCTTTGGTATAAGCATGAAGCCCCTGACACTCCCAGACCTCCACTGCTGGTGTAGTGGTATTGGCGAATGTTGCTTCTTTCTTTACAGTCTTGCACTGACTATTGAGGATATGGAATTTTACTTGATTTCAGTGCTTAAACATAACTAGTTATGTTTTCCTTTTACCGATGACAGGTTGTTGAGGATGGGTATGAGTTATTTGCCAACCGACAACTTGTGACAATATTTTCAGCACCTAATTATTGTGGGGAATTTGATAATGCCGGTGCCATGATGAGCGTGGATGAGACATTAATGTGCTCTTTCCAAATATTAAAACCTGCAGATAAAAAGTCAAAATTCAACTTTGGGAGCATGACTACAGCTAAGCCTGGAAATACTTCGACTGGAGTTTTTGGGAGCACAACTACAGCTAAGCCTGGGAACTCTGTAACAGGAATCAAGGTAAATGCAGCTTTTTACTCAAGAGAAATGAAATTGTGTTTTGTGAAGGAAGGTTTTAGATGGCATGTTAAGACATTTACAGATTAAATTTGAATTTGACACTAGTTTGTTCCTGTCACATCATATTGGTATCTTATGGCTTTAGCTCGCAACATGCCAGTTCTGTGCTTGCTTTTATATTCTGATTTTGCAAAAGGAAAAGAGAATTCACTATGCTAGTGTTAGATTTATTAGAGAGTATAACGAAGAAAAATATAATGTGCATAAGAAGTGCGTTTTTCCTTTCACATTTTTTGGATAACATGTAAGCAAATGCTTTGATCTTAATGTTTGTTCTTTTGGATCCATTCATTTGGTTTGATAAAAAAATTTAGAAAAATTAAAGTTCTCATCTTGTTCCTAGGAATTTTATGCTATTGTAATTGGTTTCCTATAGTTTTGATTGGTCTAGTGTTTACAAAGTTTAAAGAAATTACCTGGTGGATCACCCATGCTTCCCCTACATCAGTTTGTATAGAACAATCACTCTGGTTGTCCTGGAATTTATGAAGTTAATTGGACATTATTCCAATATAATGAAACTTCTCTGATAAGCAGATGTTTTCCTTTGCAGAGTTTTGTGCCATGAAACTTCCATTGGTGTCCGAAAGAGGAAATTTATCTTTTATGTGAAAAAAAAAAAAGGGATTACAATCTGATTGGGTTCTTCAGATTCATTCCCTAAACATGGATAAGGATTTTCTCCATGCATAATATTGTGAGTTTAGAGAAAATATTAGCTTTAATATGTCATTTTCTTCCAGTTAGATATTGCTTTCCCAGATAGCGAGTGTATACCTGCAATCACAGAAATCATTACCTGCAGGCTTCAACCAGTGATATTATTTCTTGTGGTTTCCTTGGGTGAATCTGGCTGAACAAGTATAAGCTAATTATTCCAGCTAGAAATTCAAAAGTATAGGTTCCTTATTCTTTTTCTCTTTCATTTACCTTGGCCCTAGACAGGTATAACATGAATCTGTATTATGTTTCTTGATGCAACTTGGATTTGAACTAAGCTCTTTCGCTAGCTACCTTTTCAGGCCATTCTTAATGCATTTCATTCAATACATTTTCGATTTGACTAGATTGAACTTTAAGGATACATGTACGTGTTTTGATTGCAAACGTGTTTTTTTCTTTTTGCTTGCAGTCCTTGATGCAGAGGTAAGATGTTGGATTTGGCAGATATGGGAGGTGCCGTGGCCCAGTTTGTATCATGAGCATGTCAAGGTCTCCACTGGGAAACATGAGGTCCAATTTATTTTCATTGTAATCTGTTTAAATTGTAAAATTTGGAAGGAAAAATCGTTGGAAACTAATGCAGAATGATATAAAGTTGGGTTTGGAGGTAGAAGGCTGCATCTCCTTCCGTTCCTCCTTGTACACTAATGGCTGCTACTTTTGCTGCTATGAATTATTAATCTCTCCGAGACCAAAGAAAAGGTCAGAACAGTCGGTGCCTGCCTATAATGAAATTTCCGGGACAGCAAAATGGAGTTGGAAAGAAATTTTCAAGTCGTTTTGTTAACAAAAGATATTCTCATGCATGTTACGTTGCCGTGTTTTATCCTTAAATTTTTGTTGGCCTGGTGGTGAAGAACTTTCACACTACACTTGAGGACCAAGGTCTTGTGATCGAATTAAGAGTTATACTAGCATAAGTCACGGGGGTGAGCCTCCCACCTGTATCAGTAGTTCTTAACCCACCCTTTCTCGTAGAGCTTTATAAACCTTTAAGAGAGAATAGGGAGTAAGGGGGACCTTCGCCTACCTGTGCAGTAGCCTAGGAGAAGTGAAGCAACGTACCTTCGCCTACCTCCCATCTGTATGATATCAGCACTGGTAAGAGCTGGTAAGCGTGGTATAACCCTTGTATTAAGAATACAAGTAGAAGAGTCAGATCCAGGTTTATGGTGGTGGTGGCATCTGGAGTTAAAAGCCAATAACACTTGGTGGTGACCATGTTACATTAAGATGGATCGTTTTTCAATTTAGTTAAACATACATCAGATGATCAGATGATCAGATGATCAGACTCTTTAACTCTGATTGAATTTGAGTGACTCAGTTACAAATTACAATTACTTTAGGCTTTCACCACTAACAGTGCCTGCTCTGCTAGCTAGGGATTATATTCTTGGTGTTGGTGGGCTAAGGCTTCAATTAAATCTTTGATTTCCCTGGTCATTCACCTGCCCAGCCAAGAACCATTATCTATTCTCTATCTCTCTCTCTCTCTCTCTCTGAAGAATCATTAATATATATCATATATGATATCTGCAGTGCATAGTAAGCATTTTAAATTAACGATGGATGGATGTGCATTCCAACAAAAAATAAAAAGAATGTGTGTGCAATAATGAAGCTTTCGTCTGATAATGATGTTTATTTAAAAAATAAAAACCAAGTTATAATTAAATTCAATCAGCATATATAATACCACAGTAGGAAAAGCATTGGTGGTGTTATATGACTACAAGACGGTCGTTGGAACACGTGGTAGGTGTAGGATGCGTCCACTCTTTTTACGATATTAATTAAATTTCTATTATTATATTTGCACTTGTATAATAAGATCAAATTGCTACTTAATTTAATTATATTGTGGCCTGGGTTTTAAATTTTTTAAAAGGGCCAAACCACTGGCGCCCAACGTTTTCATTTTTTATTTTTAAGGTGCTTACTTGCAGTAACGAGCTGAAAACACATACATTTTTCAGAAAAATAATAATACATATAATGTATGATGCACACAGCACGCACTTTTGATCTTTTTTGGTCAATAAATATTTAATTTGGTCACTGAAAAAAAAAAATATAGCCAAATAAATCACTGTATTTTTAAAAATTTACAATTTATAGACGCTCAAAAAATTAAAATCTAAATAATTAAAATATAGATTTGAGACAAATAAACATTTACCTAATTACCTAATTGCATAGTAGGTGGCATGCACGATGCAGATGCAGCCACATGGGATGGGAGAAGATAGCCAAATGGGACGGTAGAGTCCCAAGTTGCAAGTGCAAATAGAGTAAACACTGCTAGTGGTCCCCCAGATCAGCAGCACCACATGATAAGGACAGTAGCATTACTTATCAGAGTTAATCACGGACGGGCCACATAGAAATCTGGAGCTCCAGTGTACGTATTGATCTGCAATGGTACATATCATTTGTATAACCCAACCCAATTCACATCACGTGTGAGCCCATTTTGAAAGTTTATGCATTCATTGGACCCGGCCATAGTGGCCCAGTCACCTAACTGAAATATTTTATGGTACCTATAATCAGTCAGTAGTGCCGTTTGTTCTCTCTCCTCAAATTTTTGGGTCAACCGAAAGTTCATTCTTTAGTTTGCTGTTATATATGATTTGTATTTGATTAAAAGAAGCCAAGTCAGAGAAAGCATGAATCAAAGCACATGTTAATTTTAATTTAGAGTTAGATGGATCCAAGTAGGCATGGTTTTAGCCAATTTTATTTAAATGAATTCGAAAACCAAACAGAAAACTTCACATGACTTGTTATATTATACTAGAATGAATCAAAGGCATGGACCATGGAACAAGTACAAGTACATGGGCGCCCTTAGAGAAAATAAAAGATGCTTTTTCATATTCCAAACTGAAGAAAACTTCACATGACCTAGCTTGTAGAATAAGCAGTGCTCAAGTACATGGGCGGCCTTATGAGTTCGATATAGTGAAAAATCAATTCAAACCAAACAAAGCGTTAGACAAATTAACGTTCAATAACTTGTCGTATATTTGACTTTCATTTTCATTTCCATCTCTAAATGTGTATAATATATATATTTTTATATATAGGATGGGAAGGGACCGTGCGTGGGGCGGTGCTGCTACACAATAAGTTGGACTTATGTGCTTCTCAAAAAAGAAAAAGAAAAAACATATATGTATATGTCAACAACTCGCACATCAAAGACATAATTGGTCTCCCACGCAACGCAACAAGACCCACTTGATACGTAAGGGATGACCATTCATTGGTGCAAACGATTGTAAATTTTTTATGCTTAACTTTTCTTTACCTTATACGAAAAGCAAAACCATCCATGGACAAGACACACGATTGAGCTCCTTGCTGACTTTATGCTTTATACAACCAGCGCTGTCTAACAAAAATATATTGCAAATTTATTGTTTTCTTTCTGTGATCGATATATTATCACTGAAATTTATCATTATATTTGTTGAGTAATACTACACTTATCACATTTTTAACTCACATTTTTATACCACATGATGTGTCATGTCCATACTATATGTCACATTAATTAAATCAATGAAGTGTATTTTAATTAAGACAATTAGAAAAGAAAAAAAAACTAGAATAAATCATAAAAGAAAAGAAAATATTAAATAATTTTAATTGATGTAGCTGTCTATCTCAGCTGCCACATAAAATGATATAAGAATGTGGTATACAAATATAGTAGTATTATTCGTATTTTTTTTGAAAAAAATTACAACATGCATTGAATTTTATTTTATGTGAAATAAATAAAAAAACGAAAACAGAGTAAAAGTGGTGGTACCTACACCCACCAAGCCTAAACAAGGAGATATCCCACTCGACTTATCACAGTCCAAAAAGTAGAACCACATGGCAAACCGTTGACTGTCCATATGTCGAGGCAACCCAAATTTTACAACACCAAATTAAAAAATTTGCAATTGCGTTGTCGATATGGCCCCTTACTGATCATGCATGTGTATGTATTTTTCTCAGTGTCTTCCTCGTAATTCCCACTCAATTTACCTGAAACTCCGGTTTTTCTACAGATGATTAATTAATGAAAGGTCTGCCACGTCTTCCTCCCTTATGGCTCTAGTTGCAAAATTATTGAGGTTGCGCCACCCGTAATCCAAGGTTCATCTATTGTTGGGATTCTCATAATTAATCATTTTAATTTTTTAATCAAATCTCCTAGTCCTCCCATCCCATCCGGTCCAGTCCAGTCCAGTCCAGATGTAGATGCCTATCGGCCTAGATGGTGGGTGGATTCAATATACGTTCGACAGCTCACATGCTGCTGGCTCCCCTCTAATAATGACACTTGGACCCTGTCCTATTTATCAATTTTACTATCTGCATTGGTAACTACTAAGTACTAACTAGAGTGGGGTTTTTTTTTTTTTGGTCGACCTAACTAAAGTGGTTCGGCAAACATCAATTAGGTCAGTTTTCAAAAATAGCGTGCCTGTCTTGTTACATTAGAGTTCGATCTTCTTTTATTGGTATGTCCGTCTTTTTACATCAGAGTTCGATCTCCCTCTATTAGTATGTCCGCCTCTTTACATCAGAGTTTGATCTCCCTCCACTGTTACTACATTGCTTTGTTAAAAAGCTAGATTGGTGCGATTATATAAAACAGAATTTATTAAATAGCATTTATAAAAATTTGTTGCCCTGGCCTGCAACTAAAATATCATTAAAAAAGTCAAAATATCGGTTGATTATGTCGCTATTGGGTATATAATATAGTTTTTTCCCTGTGTGTACCCATTTCTTGGCATGAAATGAAAGTTGTAATATGGTGGAGACTGGAATCAAAGCATATGCTACATAGCTTCAGAATTTATGGACATTTTGATCCCAAAGTAATGGCATAAACCAACAAAAGTTGCATACTTGCTTGCATTCCACATGGATATTTAAAGGCATATACCGAAATGCCTACATTAAAGACACGTTTTATTCCACCAGGAAAGGGAGACGAAAGAAACTCAGATTCCAATCTCCATACAAACAAAAAGAAAGAAACTCAGATTCCAACTCAAAACACACACATTTTCCGTACACAAAACATGCTTTTACACTCAAAAAGAGTAGATGATAAAGTACCGTAGCCTATGGGATGGGAGTGGTTTTGCTTTCTCACTTCCTAATCTCTCTCTGACCCAAAAAAAAATCCAGAGAAGGCGGGGAAAGACAGGATCCTCATAAACCCCATGATACGTATCTACAATCTCAGATTCTCTCACAACTTTTTCTTTTTCTTTTTTTCTTGAAGAAAAAAAAAAAGAGAAAAAACTAACAAAAAAGAAAAACCCTTCCAAGAGCTTCATGTGCAGGGGCATCTTTCTCTCAGACTGATCTTCTATTTCTCTTTTTCTAGCTCTTGATTGGAAGAGGGGGGAGGGGGTCTCTGGATCCATCCATTACATCAGGGTTTTTGTGCTCTAAGAGAGGGAAAGTGGGCTCGCTTATATTCACATGGTTGGGAACTTGGGATATATGTTATATGTACTTGGGTTGGCTCTGACTGGTGCGCTTTTATATGATATCTTCGAACCAAGTCAGATCAGTCTATTGGATTTGCCTCTCCACCACTTAAGATCCATGGGTGCCCTGGAATTTCAACAAACAAAACAACAAAACTTTGTTAGTAATCAATGAAAAACTAGAACAAAAATAAAAACTGATGAATTGAGGAAGACAAAAAGACGAACATGATCCTGCAATTCCATTTCTTTCCTAAAAAGGAAAATCTACAATTTCTAATTTTGAACATGGCAAGGAGTAACTTTCTGAAACTTATCCCTAATTTTTGTTTCATAGCGTGGCAGGAAACCATCACTTTTTTCAGAGACTAAAACAATAAAGGAAACATATTTCACGGGCAAAACAGAGCAAAGATACTACAAAATCAAAGAAAGTTTAAGTCTTTCAGGTCAGGTGAGATCCTACAAAAATAAAAATACCCAAATCAAATAGCAAGTGGGAAGATATTTCAACCGCACAAAAAGAGGGGAAGAAACTTACTAAGTGCCTGGTCAGCGGAGAATCTCCTGGAAACGTCTCTGCAAATCATCTTCCTCAACAGATCCTTAGCAGCCGGAGACACAGATCGGAAAACTTTCGGAGGAAATCTCAAATTCCCTCTCAAAACGGCCTCGAAAATCTCGGAAGCCGACTCACCGTAAAACGGCGGAATCCCACCGAGCATTATGTACAGCATCACGCCGGCGCTCCAAACATCGACCTTCTCATTGTACGCTCT